TGGAAGGTCTATCAGCAACTTGAGGCTCGCGGCTAGGAACCCGGTCATCAAATGCAACAGCGACCACCGGAGGACTAAATGGTATGCCGTGGCGGCGTATTCGGCTAGCACTGCAGGTTGTTGTGACGGTTGGGATTGTAGTCATTATTGATCACATGAAATTTGCTTGCTTGCACTTGACTGCCATTTTACCAGGGTAATATTGCTTGCCGTTGTGGGTGTTGCCGCTGACGTGAAGTGAATGCATGACTGAGTTGCTCAAATCATGTCGGAACAAGTCGTACAGACGTACATTACCTGGACCCATGGAGCGCAGCCGACGTGGTTACAATTTCACGGACCTGGAGCCCTGCTTGACAGACCCATTCGGCACACTACGTCACCTCCGCCCCCACCAAGTTTCCCACTGCTTCTTCCACCTCCGCCTCCGCCACCGCCACCACCACCGGTGATTCTACACCCACAGTTTATGCCCTCAGTACGGAGCCCCTCGATCTCAGCTCCTCGCGGACAATCTTGCCCTGCCACATCGAAATCGCAGCGCACACGCCGCTCGATCTACAGCACTGACCATTCCCGTGATGAAGACCTACGCAGCCCAGGGCGTTCATCCAAACGATCTCGGACAGCATCCGCTTCGGCACCGCGGAGATCTCGGCGGCCTTTCACAGTATTCCCCTCCAAACGTGCTGGCCGTCCATCGCTGTCCCCGTCGGCAAATTGCAAGCATTACTGTCATGCCATCCTGCGCCATGGACGGAAATATGTCTTTCCCCTTGTGTTCGTAGACGACCAGGACATTACCATTGCAGGTGTGCGCGGCATCAACGGCGGTGAAGCTTAGGTGTCGTATATTACAAACCTCGCTGCTGTGTCTCACCTTGAGTTTGAAAAGTTGCCTTGCATTCCTTCAGTTGTGCGCGGTTGTCATTGCATGTGTGTCTTCGCCGCAGATTTTCGATTGCTTTTAGCGGCCGCGCGAGAGCTTGTCTTGCCGCTATGAACCCTCAATATTTCGAGTACCAGATCGACAGAGGAGTGGAATGGATTCGAATTTACTCACCGGGCACGTGGCGACCCGTTCCCGATGATGCTCCAGTGCTAGACCCACTCTACGCTTCCACGTATAGGGAGTGGCGCAGGTCATATCGCTTCCAAGTGTACTGGTCCGAAGACAGCACCGGAGGCACAACAACGGATCCCATAGTCACGCCCAGTTCGTATGTGTCCTACCACGTGTGGGAGTACCGAGACTGGCAAACACGAGGGTATCAACGACTTGGAGCTCCTTTACCAGCCATTGGACTCGCGATGCTCGTGAATGCAGACGCCAATTCCTCGGTGGGCTCATCGGTTCCGGATGGGGCGTGGCGAGAGCCGTCACCACCACCATTCTATGATCCTTGGAACGATTCGGAGTGACACTTGAGCAACATGTCGGATAAAATGACGCGGTTGTGATTGCTTTGTATGCGATTCCATGTTGGGTTGTCTTGCTTGGTGTTGTGCGTTCCGTCTCCATGTGTTCGCCGCTTTCCTTTATGACTTCGAGCGGCTTGCCTGGTTGAAATGTTCAATTGTACAGTGTATGGCACAGCACGATGGGTCCTGCCTCGCTACTTTGACTACGACATCGTCAATGGCCCCGCGAACACGAGTGTAGAATGGATTCGGATCTATGTACCGGGTCCGTCGCATCCAGTCGCCGAGAACACCTTGGGACCAGCCCCGGATGACTCAACCACTTATCGGGAATGGCGCAAGGTTTACCACTTCGAAGTGTATTGGCCGAGGGGTAGCACAGGCGGCACCAATACAGCTTAGACAATCCAACGCCGTGCGTTGGACACCTTTTTGCGCAAACGGCATCTGACGATGCCAAACGCAGCCAGGCCTACAAATCGCGGCTGTTCTCGCCAAATCGCGGCCGAATTCTCGCCAAATCGCGGCTGAATTGCTGCCAAAGTGTATCATTCGCAACAGGGGGCATCAGATGGCGTCGTTTGTAGAAACGATGTCCAACGGACATCATTGGATGCTCTAAGAGGTGCTGTTTCGCAGCCGGTATCTTATGCATCCTTCTATACTTGGCATTATAGAGACTGGGTCACCAGGGGATACCAACGACTGGGTCGCCCACACCCTAGCATTGCGCGGCCAGTTTTCGCTTCGGGCGCACCGGACCTCATGTACGCTGGATTGTCCTCTTCATCGGCATCCTCCAACTCGGATGGTGGCTGATGCTCGTCCTCGCCTTCCTGGGGAGTCTGTTCAGTTCAATTCGATTCGGGAGATTGACTTCGATACCGGAGCTGTGCATTGCTGCAAAAGTGATTTCTTGCACCGTGGCTGTTGTTTCTCTTTCAGTCATTGTTGTCTGCAGCCGTACACCTATCAATTTGGCTTTCCGGGTTTGCGTTGTCATGCCGTGGCTAGAATGGTGTCCGGATCCTCAACAACCAGATGCCCAGTGGGTCAAGATCTTTCATCCGAGATCATGGACTCCACATGAAGAACATGATGCTCCACCTCCACCGCACACGTGTAGAGAGTGGAGGGAGTTCTATGCTCCCAACCCGGACCCAGTCGGTGAGCAGCTCAATGTCACCATGTGGTACAAAAGAGACTGGGCCACAGAGGGCTATCGGAGAGTCGCTGCCCCTCAAGCTGGTCATGACTTTGATTCTATGTCTTTTCCTGATCATCACAGCGTGGCCACGCAATCCGCGGCATTGAGTATGTCACCGCAGCTGTTAGTCCTCAGGTCCTCGGATGCGGCGGATTTCTCTACTGAAGAACTGACTCGTCTCCAAGAGGGGATTTCTCAACAACTGACAGCTCGCGCACGTCACGCTTCCCAACTTCATCAACCAGTACGTGCATCACGTGGAATCACACCATCGGAGACGGTTGGGGTCTCCGAACCATACCGGCCTGTTAATCCTTCCGACAGCTGCAAAGACAAGGCGAGTCCCATCTTCGAGCTAAATGAGGACTAGACGCACGCGAGTGGGGCTTGGTTGTTGCTTGTACATGGTTGTGCATGGTGCCTGTTTCTCTATCAGCTGGATCGGAGCCCGCGATTCGCCTTGCTTCTTACTTCGACATGGACGTCGATGATTCGAAGCAGCACCCATGGCTCGAATACTCGGTCTGGCAGGATCAGGAGTGGGTGCGGATCTACACTCCAGGACAGCCTCAGCGTTGGCACCGCGGAGAAACTGTACCTGATCTACCAGACAATTCTTTTCGGGAATGGCAGCGGGTGACTGATCCCAATGGGTGCACTGGTGAGCACGGTCAGGCATGGAACATCCGCGACTGGCAGCATCAGGGATACCAGCGCATTCTGTCTCGAATGGAGTCCTTCACAACTCATCATTCGCATGATCAATCTCCTGGTCAAGTTCGGAACTCCGATGCCATTCCAGTTGAGGAGACGTTCACCTATGCCACTCCATTTTCTCATGGTGATCGCCAGGCTGCTTCACAACTCGCTTCAGTCCTCTATGGCGACACTCGTAATGCTCAACGTGGTGATCTCTCGTTCCCGTCTTCTGAGCGGTTTAGGGCTGTTTCTCGTTCCCCTCGCCGCGGTGGAATTTTTGGTCAACGATAGGGACACGGGGTTGAGCATGTGATCTTCCTGCAGAAAAGGAGACTCCTCGCCCCTCATTGAGGGGCGTGTGTGTGCGGAGTGACAGAATGCCCTGTCACCACCCTTTCGGTTTCTCAGCAGGGGGGCAGAGAGGACTTGCAAAGCTCTGCCCAACGAAGCTCTTTGCAAGCTCCTAGGATACGGAGTCTGATCAACTCCGCGTACCTGCGCAACTCGTGTGATTCAAAGTCCTCTTGGCCCGTTGGTTTTCTCGCTGTGTGTGCTTCATGTTGAACCTTGTAACGGTTTCGCAGCTAGACGGAAACCAAGTGACTGCAAGCCGAACCTTCACCTACTCGAGACTCATCAGTTGTACTCGAGACTCATCAGTTGTACTCGAAACTCATCAGTTGTACTCGAAAGATTAGCACTCTCCATCTGGAGTTTAAGTGTGTGTGTGTGTGTGTGTGTGTGTGTGTGTGTGTGTGTGTGTGTGTGTGTGTGTGTGTGTGTGTGTGTGTGTGTGTGTGTGTGTGTGTGTGTGTGTGTGTGTGTGTATTTGCGTGTGTGTTTGTATGTGTATGTGTGTACGTGTGTACGTGTGTAACTATGTACATATGATATGATATGTATGTATGTATGTATGTATGCATGCATGCATGCATGCATGCATGCATGCATTTATGCATGTATCCGTGTGTATATACAAACATACACCTTGATATGCCGCAGGTATGTCTTGGTGTCCCATGATGTGGGGTATGGGGGAACATGTTGGGCATGCCCCCAGGGGCAGGTGGTGACTTCCGTCCGTAGAAGCCGAAAAGGAATGAGATGTTAACACTGAAAAGCCCAGCTAGAGGCAATACTGGAAGAGAACAGTTTAAACAACGACCTTCACCAAGAAGGAACACCAGATGTTAGTAGGGGCCCTTTCCAAAAAAAATACATGTCGACCATCCTCCCGGAAGAACGTGCCTGATTTCCCTCTTCAACTAGGCATGTTCACCCATGATTCCACCCAAAGACAGCTGAAAATGATGTGGCAAAGTGGGACATGTGAATTCATAGCACGGGAAACATCATGGATCCTCACTTGGGTGCACTGACATTCCACAAGGATTTATTTTATGGCTATGGTTCGTCAGCTCTGCCGAGGAGTTGGACATTGGTGGTTTCGCTGCCCGTTCTCAATGGGAACTTTGCCCACATGAGCCATGGAATGGCCTATGGTCATCTATCATGGCTCCCAGGAGTCTTCATAACTTTTGAGGATCCTACCACCAGGCGGATCCCAGTCTGCTCCAATGCCTAAAGGATCCGGTCTTTGGGCTGTAAGTGACACCCGAAAATGGCGGGGGGGGGGGGGGGGGAGTGGACTTGGTCCGTCTTGGGCCGGTGCCCAACTTTGGCCCTGGAAGATGAGATGCAGCGACCTGAAGCTGAACGTTTGTTCAGTGAGTGGTTTTTTGGCGGTGGGCCTATACACTCCTTGGACAAACCTTTTCATTTGATTAAAAACCGTTGCTCAAGTGGCTTGGTCTGAGCTTCTACACAAGGCCTTTCTCAAGCTTTAACGATTTGGATCTAGCCCCACAAATGGAGCGCGGGACGGCCCTTTATGCGTACAGGGCGGCCCCTGAAAACAAGCGTTTTGGCAAATAATTAGGGTCTTGGGTCTTGGGTTGATTTTTTTTTGCAGTGGATCAGCGGGCTGTGAATCTTGCAGTTGGCCGCTCAGAGAAAACCCATGAGAACAATGGAGCTTTGTGCACACCGGTTTCTGAAGTTGCTTCGCAAAGCCTTGAGGAGGCAGTGCTACCCACCTATCACTTGATCAGATATATTCAACCACAGCTGAGACAAGCCTGGGGTATTGCTCTTCATGCGGTGCCCAGTGCCCTGTGGCAGAAGGGCGTCTGGGCTGTTCTCGCAAGTCTGGGCTGGTTGATCCCCTGCTAAAAGTTTTTGCTTTGCGGGCGAAATGGAAACTACCACTAAATCCTAAATAGCTAAAGCCTCAAGGGCACGGCCGGGAACCACCAAGTTGCCTCTCAATCCTTCGACAGATTGGAATGATCAGCCGATATCAGCAGTTTGCAGAACCACATGTAGGCAAACCCACATCCTTCATTCAGAGATGGACAAAGGGCACTGGGCAGCTGACATCCTGCATCTGGTCAAGCTCAGTCTTCCCAAAGGATTTGGCTTCAAATCAGACCTCCGAGGCCTTGAAGGCTTGGGGCGACAGTTGGGAAGGAGGTTGGGATCCTATGATGGCTTGTTTGTCGTAGCCATCATTCCTCAAGCATGTCAAAATCCTCTAATGGGTGGACTGGGTGTTACTCGAGTGTGCTAGGATGCGTGCCATTGGGTCGATAAGAAATATGCATCCGGTGGCATGGACAAAGGGGAAAATGGAGCAATGGTCCAGCGATTTAGCACCCAGAATTCCAGGAATCGGTTTGGATGTTTTTTTTCCGTGGATCTACGCCAGCCAAAGAGGACCAAACGAGTACTAACTTAAAGGAACAACTGGCAGTGCCTCGGAACCTCCCGTTTGTTCAACTCGTGACTCACAGGCCCCCGGCACTGGCACGTTCAGCATGAGAGGGGCGCTCATGCCGATCGCCAAGGCTGGCACGATGCGTCGCCATGGGTTCTTCTCGGGGTTCATTCCATTTCTCATTCCCGACCTATCGCACCAGCAAAAAACACCTTTTGGGTGTGGCCCAAAATTAAGAGCCAGGGCCAACCCAAGGTTTTTAGTCGTTGGTGCCACTTACTCAGGTGCCATTGTGGAGCCACAGCCTTTAGACCTGAAACGTCCGGCTGTTGAGCACCCACTTTGGACATTTCTCCATGCCCCAGCCTTGGTCCAGCTTGCCTCTCTGCACCCAACCTCAAGGCACCAGATTCCTGTGCCCTCTGGGGAAAAATCTGGGGATGGGCTTTGGTAAAACCTCACCTTTTTGAGGGGGTCTGTGATCAAGGCACCCGCCGGCCACAAATCAGATCTGAAAGCAATGACAGCACCAAATTCGCATTCGGGTCCCTCCACTCGGCGGGAAGCAAAGGTGCCCTCCACCAACAGTTGGACTCTTACAGCCATCTTTAAATTTGACCGCCGCAATGAGTTGCACATGTGAAGCCAACTGCAGAAACAAAAAGCAAACTACACCTCTGAGAGGTCAGAAACAATTCTACATTCAGACCGTGCCCCAGGAGTAGCTGGGACTTTTGCTCTACCCTTCATCTGCCCACGTTTCGACTGCTCAAATGAAGCGGGGCTCTGGAAGCCTTCATAATTACAGCGCCTTCAAAACTTTCATCTCGACAGGGAAATCACAATCATTTGCCAACCGAAAATAATATTTTTTCTTTGAGATGGTGAAATCAGTCGCAACATCTCGTTTGCTAGGTCGCGAGTTGCACAGAACAATGCTTGCCGTTGTGAGACTAAATGGACTATCCCCCATATACTTTGACCAGTGCGAAACACTTGGCTCTGCAATGACACTTGGCTCTGCAAGATGTTTTGCGTTCCATGTTACTCCACGGAAATGCAGTCTTGGTGATTCCCTTCCAGCATCCACTCGGAACAGAATTGGACGTGGCTCTACGAACTACGACAAGCGATGTGGAGGAACTGGATGCCGCGAATCCCTCACTCGGGGGGTAAGATCCATCACACACGCGGGGGGGAAGTCCCCCTTATTCCTACATCTTGGCTCGTCGTAGCCCGCTCAAGCATTGCCAGCACCAAGCCAAGGGAACAAAAGCACCGGCGCCACCGAATCCTGCACTTCATCGAAACGGAGAATCGTGTTCACATCTCAAAATGTGCATCCAAGCCGGATATACTCTGATACGGATAGCATACGTACGCTCTTCTACAAGTCATCTTGACGATGCTTCAGACATCGGAAAACCATCGCCCGAGTGCGACTCACCGAGGAAACAAAAACATCTATCTTTTGCAGCCAGAACAATCAAGTCGTTTCCCCAAACATCTAAGCGATTCCATTCGGAATATCTTGAGGCCCCGGCTGTTGATGAGGAACATGGCGTGAAAAATCGAAATAAATGCAGTGGCCTGATCCACGCACGGGGACGGTCGGGGCTCATGCTTGGCACCCCAAAACTCCCTAAAACCCGGAACTTCGACACCGTCAACCCGAAACCCTTTAACACAAATTCCCCATGAGCCAGAGCTACCAAAGACAGTTTGGAAGATCGCACGGGAAAATTGGGGATGGCTCAAACCCTGGCTGGAATTCGGACCCCAGCAAAAAACCAATATTTTTTGCCTGGTTACTGGAAAAACAAAGGGGACCCGACAAAAAGCAAAACATCGAAAAGGGGAGCGAACTCTGGGGAAGAAACCGTCTGGGGCCCGCCGGCGTAGATTCTGTGGCCAAACTGGGGGCGTCCATATCTCAAAGGAAGCTGTGGGCTGAACCCGATGTTACGTCTCAACCTGAGAGAGGCCAAATGCGATTACTTTGCGCACCAGCCTGGGGCGCCAGCGTATGTAGTATGGGTGTGTCCGTTTTTGGGAGGTACCCCTTCTTTGTGGGTTTTGAAGGGAAACCAAGAGGAAAACCACCATTTTGGGGTTCCCCCCAAAAAAACAACCACATGAGCACCCAGACCAGAGCAAACTCCAGGGGAAGAACAACTTGTGCAAGTCAGGGGTGTGGTGGGCACCCAGAGCCCAACACATAGCCAACTCTCTGCATGCGGCTCGCAGATTCAGTCACTGGTGACTGAGCGCTGCACCGACAGGAGCGGATCAAACGGCCTAGAGCCATACAATGTGAGCCGTCTGGGCGTGTCTCAAAATGGGGACCCCCTGTTTGAACCAACCATGAGATGCGATCCGCATGAGCATCAGTACAACATTGGATCTGCATCAGGATTTCAGATGGCCAGGATTTCTATTCGCAAATCAGAGCACAACAAGCCGAGTTGTAACACAAAGCCATAGAAGCTGTCCAGTTTAAGCCTGTTCAGCCATTGCTCTTGCCGAGGTCCAAGAAGACGCATGGCTTGAGCTTTGCTCACTTCCGATCCAGTGGATAATTAAAAAAAAGCTGACTTTTTGCTTACCAACATGGTCCCACAAAGTGACTCAAGTCTGAAACGGAACTCGGGAATTTTGTTTGTGCCAAAGCGAAAGGGAAGTAGTCCAAAGGGCTGCGCACGTCTGATCCTTGCAAGTCCGTCCCTGTGCATGGCTCCGAGACAAGGTGAGCGGGGCAATAGGGACACGGGTCAAGTGGCTAAACTGTGCAAAATTCCGTGCGCACCACTTTGAACCACCTACGAAAACTCAAATTTATTCGATTCCCCTATAAATATATACCGGCAAAAAAATGTTTCCCATGGAGCGAAATGGACTTCGTCCACCCACTGTATAAATTGGTCACAACTGGACACTATGACCTACGGCAACCCTTTGGCGGACATGTGGGATTGACAATGTAGCCATCCATTTGGATTGCGAGTTCGGGGGCTCTCTCTGCGTGTGCTGAGTGCTCATAGCTCGCGACCGTGATTTTTCGACCAAGTTGAAACACCAGCTTGTTGCTGCACATGGAAGCATTTTGAATGTAAGTCTCATTGCGCCATAAAAGAAGGAAGGATTTAACACCTTAGTGTCACGTCTCAGCATTTCTTCCGCAAATTTCGCAATACTTCCAACACCTGAAATAAGAATTGGATCGCGAAGTACAGGAACTTTTGCACGGTGAGCTCGTTTTGCCCCCGAATCGGTGAGCTCGCCATAAACGATACAGACATGTCTCGCAACTTAGCGCGTCAACTTTCAGGCCCCGGCTGCAACCAGGTGGGGTACTCAGGCAGCACACGGAGGCTCCTATGACCAAGGGTGTGGTGGCCAAGCGGCCGAGGAACCCGATAGATGGATGGCTTCCATTTGCTTAAGGCCCTGGACAAAGAAACGCATGTCCATTTGTGATGGATACCTCTAAAAACCAACAGGGGAAAATAACAAATATTCTTAAGCACAAAGCTGGTAGATGTTTGAAACCGGAATCGCCATCTATTTTCGGTCAAAACAACCAGAAAGGACAGCTATGGTGGTAACCGCTAGATTCTTGGCCAATGTATCGCTAGCCAAGAAGCCAGAGATTGGTTCTCGGGACAAAAAACAGCCTTCGGAACAGAACAGCCACACCTGCGATGGTACCCACTTTCAAGGTCTGGATGGCGAAATGATTCTTTCGGATTTTGTTGAGTTTGCTTTCAAGCCCTCTATGGCGCCTGTGTCGTAAAATCGAAGCGAGGTCGTCACACTTGATTCAAGTTTTAAGGGGAGAACAAAAGGTACCAACTCAAAAACAGACAAGCCTCGCTCGAGGAAATTTGGCCTACCTCCGGTCAGGTTCCAGTGGATTTTGAGCCAGGCACTCTTGCAAGTGGGGTAAAAATAGGGTAACCCCCAATGGGAACCTTGGTAGATGGAAACAAGGACTAAAACCAGCGGTTTCGATTTTGACCCATACTCAAGTATATCCTTAGGAGATACGTGCTCCCTTAGGGACAACCATTGAATCAATCGAGCTGAATCTGGGGTTGGACACTTCGGGCTTTGGAGTCCATGTTCTCGCACCCTTCCCCCCTTCTCATTTCGGGCTCAGGCAAAGAATGCTCATCCCGGAAAGGGGGTCCCGTTGCCAAGCCCGTGACGAATGTGTTTTGGAGAGTATGAGGTTTGGAGCCATGAGAAATAGCAGGCGCTGGGAAGATGGTTTGTGTGGGCAGCTGGGATGTTCACGCGAGAGTCCAACATGGAACTCCCCAACCCAATGTGGCTCTGCCAATCAATAACTTTCGGCTTACACAGTCTAGAAGAAATGGGAGGGGGAAGCCGTTCGTCTATGGCTCTTGGTGGACCTTCCTACGCTTTGAGTTGGGGTATCCACGATATGTGTCCTTCATATGCATAAATGAATACGTATTGTTCCCCCTCTTAGATTTAAAGGAATCTCTGACAGGAAATATGTATTTTTCTTCCTCAGCAAATGAAAGGTGTCATTCTTGACAGACTTTCAATGGCTTGCCGCGGGGTTTTATTGGAAGCTTACGATGAAGGCACCAGGTGGCCGGAAGGACATGGAGACTCTGTTTGGTCAAGGAGAAACATCCAGCTTGCCCCTTCCCCATTGGTTTGCGTCTGGTCGTTGCGCCATTCCCACTTGGCTTCGCAAGGAAGGACGGGTTGCGCCGGACAAGCCGGCGGGCAAAAGTCGAGCTCCCGCAAGTGAACCCAGTCGTTCTGCACGAATACGCTTAGGCTCTGACTGGTAGGTCAAGAAGAAATAAAATCCTGGCAGCACAAAGTACACTTCGATGCATGACTTTGCTTTTTGATAGCCTACCTGGCACCTGAGCTGGCAGCCAACAACAAACGCACGCACTTATCGGCAAATGACACGGCAAAATTTAAGATTCCTCAATCCTAGATATGATTACACATTTGTGTCAAGCGCCTGTATCGGCAGTTGCAATGGTTCAAGCCGTGAACACTTGTTTGATGCACTTCCGGTCAGGGATTTTTCTCCCGGCCTGCGGTGTTCACAAAGCCACCGGAGGAGAGGTTGCCGTCCTGCGATACGTGACAGAAACGGCTGACTGAGCAGCTGTCATCCAATCCAAGCGTGTGCTAAAAAAGCGGACGGTATAATGTGGACGATCAATGTTCTGTTCGGCCCCGAAACGACCATGGGCAACTTTTCCCAGGTGAAAGTACTCTTTTCTGGTGGTTTCCCTAATTGTCACCCCATGTAAAGGATCTTTGTATCAACCCCCATGTGGCTAGAAAAACAAAACAGATCGACAGCCGAAACGTGAAAAAAAAAAACAGCGAAACCCTTAGAATAGCCTAGGACGGCTCATCATCGTCCGCCCGCGGGGAAAAATACCTCAGATCACCGCTTGCTCAACTGTGCCACGGTCAAAAAACATGTGAGCCGTGGCCATGGTTTCCCTTAGGAAGCTTTACCATGGTCTAAGATCCGTATAGTAATCACTGTCCCAAGGCCCCAAGAGATTGATCCCGGAGCAATACACTTGACCAGCTTCCTGCACTGTGGAACCGCCCCTTCAATTCGCTGATTTTGGGGTCAGCACCAATTCCGTGGCTTCTTGGCTCCATCAATAATATGGCAGCTCAAACATCAAGAGCTAGGGGTTGTGCAGGTCTTTGTTTCCATCCCCTTGCCATTTCTGTGTGATTCCATTTTTTGCTTACCGCTCACATGCTCCAACCCCCCAAAAAGTGACTAAAGTCCGAGCCACGGAACACAGGTCCCAGGTGCAACCTCCTGTTCTCGGGAGCCTCGCCTCGCCGAAGCCGAGGAGTTGGGCTATGGTCTTGGTGGGCTGCGGCAGCAGCGAGGGCTGCAGCCCAGTGATCTGAGCTCTTCGAAGGGGGCTGGCGGCCGGGGCGGGTGGGCGGGTGGGAGATGGTAGGAGGGGGGGGATAGTTAAGTGGAAAGTCAGGCACGACTTATGAAAGGGGTACTTACTTAAGTGTTTTTGTTTGGAAAAAAACAAGGGGAAACTATAGAAGACTAATGCTGGCCAACGTGGCCAACAAGGGCGGAACTTCCCCCATCCCTCTCATACGTAGTCATAGTTGCTGAGTGCTCTGGGTGTTTTTCCGGTTCTAAGTGGGTCCCGAGCGACAACTCGGGAAACTTTTGCAAACATCTCCAACTCGGGCTACAAATCGCCAGCCTTCCATGCGGCTTTCTGGGCCGCCCCGCCGCATTCACGGCGCCAAAGCCCATGGACGCGAGGACCAACTCGAAAGGCCTGAGAAAAGCCGAGGACAAACTCTTCGGATGTTGGCAACTTGGGACGAAATAAAGCCCCCAGCAAGGTTACCCCTACTTAAGGGGACTTGTAAGAGGGGAGCCTAACTTGCCAACAACTTACTATCTTGGCTGAACGCCCAAGTGCGACCTCCACTTCTTTCCTATAAAACATACACCCCGCCAAGCAAGAAAGCAGATCAACATACGCACAGGCTACACTAGCATGCCATCTTCCTTCTTCCACCCCCCAAAGAAGAAAGAAACAAACAAAGAACACGAACCGACACACAGCGTTCCGAACCACTTGAAGCAGCACACAAGCCACCGAAGGGTCCTCAAGGTATTGGCAGAAAGGCCTTTGAGCTCCATGTGAAGGTCGCATGCAGTCACCCCAAAAACTGAAAACAGCCGCAGAGACTTCTGGCTTCTTCTTTGACTGACTCTTTGCTAGACTGTTGAGGAAAGGCACAACATGAAACAAGGCAACGATGCAGATCAGGTTGTCAAGTGGAGTTTTGCCAGCCACCGGGAGCTTTCAAGAGTCTCGGGACCGAACCTATGCTTTTGCTTTGACTTCGACGCATGCCATTCGCTTCGCTGGATTGCTCAAAGGGCAAGAAGAGCTCAACGTGGCAAGGAGGATAACAAGGAAGTCATATCCAATGTTCAGTGACCTTCTTGTGACGTGTTGAATCTGAACAAATTACAAATTGCTACAGTTCATCAACCTGCAGACCAAGGCCCGAATCGGTGAGTTTGCGATGCATAGATTGATGTTGCATGGATACACAATGGCAAACTTCTGGACCAATGGAGATATGGAGATGGTGGTTGCAGATTCCACGTCGAACAGCGATGTTAGCTTCGGAGTCCGAGCTGTACTGCTCCGGAATGGCCTTATAGGGATTTCGCTTTGCAAAAATGGGCCTCCTCTGATTTGCATGGTTCTCCAGGGTTCAGCACCCTTGTACCAATGGAGGAATCAGATTTGGAAGGGCCCTACTATGGGCGGCGACATCCGTTCACACGGCTTTGAAACCATTGCTTGTTGGATTCCCCAAGGGCATCGAATCATTCCAGGGTTTCTTAGGCGGTGCGAGAAGAAGTTTGTCCATCCACAGTGCTATTGCACCTGAGTCGCAATCAACACCTGGTACTAAAATGGTCTACCCAGAACCATGTACAGGATTAAAAAGGCGGCCGCAGCTATTTATGGTTGGGATCGTCCCTTGCTAACCTTCATCTACCCGGGTTTTGATTGTGACTCACCTGGGATTTCGCTTCCAGATGCAAAAAAAGTCCACGAAGGGCACGCCCTTCGATCGGGGTCCCGGGCAAATGCGGGGACATTTGCCCGCCAGCGAGGCGCACAATATCCACCAGGAGGACATCCAGCAAGTACGCCAAGCCTCGGAGCTCCGAACGCTCGAGAATCTTTGCTTACAGGTGCTTCGAAAAGGCACCAATATATGTATTGGTGTGTCTTTTTCATGGGGCCAAATCAAATTGATTCAATTTAACATGCACCAAAAACATTTACACAGCCCCCGACATATGTTATTGGTGTGTCTTTTTCATGGGGCCAAATCAAATTGTTTCAATTTAACATGCACCAAAAACATTTACACAGCCCCGACATATGTTATTGGTGTGTCTTTTTCATGGGGCCAAATCAAATTATTTCAATTTAACATGCACCAAACGCATTTACACAGCCCCCGACATATGTTATTGGTGTGTCTTTTTCATGGGGCCAAATCAAATCGTTTGAACATGTTTTCAGAAGCCCTGCCTTTTAAAGGGTCATGCGGTGAACTGAAACTTCAACATATCTCAACCGACTGCAAGCGCCTTGTGCCTGGTCTGTCTCATCCTTGCCCCTTCATTGGAACGCATGCAATATCCCAGCTTTCTCCAGCCAAAACAAACCTGCCATTCGCTGGTGGATTTCTTTGCCGAAGGCAATGGTCGCCGGATGTGTTTTTTGTCCGAAAACACGCGTGGAAAGATTGATTGTGAACGCAATTCTCATATTTGCTGCTTGGAGTTAAAAAGGCCGGCAACGGCAGGGATATCTGGGTCTCACCCTATTTCACACACCCCCAGCTTTATTTTCCTCTGTGTGACCCAGTTTTTGAGACACATCAATCTTATAGCCCTTGGTATGGTAGCAACACATTAATTGACTGCGTTTTGCAGGCCCCCAAGAAATGAACAGAACAAGAAAAATAACAACCCTAAGAACTTGCCATCGGTGAAGATCTGCGTGAATCGCCGAAGAGCTCGGGGGATCCTTGGGCTGCAGCCGATGATGGTGTGAACCGTACCCGAGATGGCGTGGACCTGGGAAGCTTCGCGTACCCAGGTTTGGTTTGAAAGGGACACCAAAAGGAACATCGAGGCCATTTTCGGGGGTCCAGTTCCTCGCTCCGGAAACTCCTTGCTCCGGAAACCGCCATCTTCGCGACAAAATCACTCTCATACCTTCACATCTCAATACAAGGACCTTTCGGACGACTCTCATACGCTTTTGGGGTGCTTTTGTGTGTATCGCAAATGTGCCTTTCGAAAGAAGCAAACATGGAGAAAGGGAAACCACGGGACACCAACAACTATTTGGGGTGAAGTATCAGTCCTGAAAACGCGCTGATGGGCAACCTGCAACTGACTTTGATGAAGTGCTTCATGTGAGCACTCAAAACCCTTGCTCAATTTGGGCCAAGGATTTACTCCCTGGTGTCGGCGGGTTCTGGGTGCTGTTCAAGTTGTCTGAATTTGAAACAGCTGCGTTTGAGTTGACTCCCCGTCCAATGTGGCTAACCTTTCAAAGGGCCCCGAAACTCCGGAACACAGCAAGCTGGAGGTACCTGAATGCAAGGAAGTGTTCCTCCTTCGGCTTCGAATTCCATGCTTAGCCTTTCAGCTGTTAGAAAGTTAGGGACCCCCCCTTTTTGAGGCGGTTTCCAAATTGGTTTGCTTCCCCCCAAAAAAGGGCATTGCCACCGGAGAACATACGACAACAACCCATCTCTTGAGCTCCTAAGCTCAGAGGCACAACTCTAGCTTGATGCAAGGGTCTCGCGGTGAGTGAAATTGCCATGGGATTACGCGGAAAATGGGAGTTGAAAGAGACACGCTTTCACGTTCAGCATTATTCACTGATAGCTGACTAGATACTCACCTATCTCCCATGTCAGTTGGATGCATACTGACTGCTTGCTCTGAGGTCTTGCGACGGCCAGTGCACGGCAATTTGAACTTCCGTGGTTCCAGTGCGTTCCCATCGGAGGAGGACACAGCGGGGCTTTCCCCGATCAGCCCAACTATTCCGCAACCGCCAGAGGGACTCGCTGCGTCAAATCTGGGCTAGAGAGAGCAAGCTGGCACAGCATGAAAGCGGCAGAGAGCAGCTGGCTCCTCAGGCTCCTTACATGAAAGATTCCTTTTGTGCCTCTGAACGTCAATGTAACATCCAAACTCATGTCCTTTGAGGGTCACGTCTATGATTCAGAGGCGAACAGTGGTTACACATATGCTTGCTGAGAACCAGTGTAGAGTAGCAGTACTGGGCTGTCCTCAGATGCCCTGCTGAAATTTTTAACTTTTAGAGGGTTAATTGAAATCCCCACTAAACCCTAAAAAACTAAAACGCCAACAGAACGGCTGCGAGCCCAGAGTAGTGAACCTTGGTTTCCGCACTTTGCCCGCTTGAGTCATGGTTTCAAATGGAGATCGCCTTTCCTGTCGAAGTCCTACGTGTAATAGCCAGGTGAAACAAAAAGGTTCGAACGTCACCGGAACTTTTAGGAGAGTCAGCTGCATGCCAGCAACTCCAGGCCCTGTCCCCCTCCCACTCGCTGGGCCCCTACGTGGAAGGAGTCTGCGCGCGTCCACATCCGCCGGAACCTGGGCCGCAACTGGAGGAAACCTGCCGCATCCCCAGTAAATCTCTTATCCAGTTCTGTGTTTCTGGCTCCATGTTTTCTAAAACGGGAGTTCTAAGGGACGCAACCCATACCAATCCAACATAAATTGGGAACTTGTGCACGGAAACCCTAAGTTTGGTGGACATCAACGGAACCTTCGCTCCAAACAGGCATCAAGAGGCTCCACCGGACTACCTCAGCTTTTTTTTTGCCTCCCAACCATGACATCTTCAATTCTGGCCTATTTCTCACCTGCCCCTTCGGGACCTGATGCAAGGTTCACCCTTTTTGGGACCTTGACCAAATCTGGCCCAACATAGGGTTTGATTTTTTTTGGTTGAAAGGTCGGTCTTGGACTGAGACTTGCGATAGCGCAAGTACAATCACCCTGGGCTCAATCACTCCTGCTGATTGCTTAAGTCTCCTGGAAAAAACTCTAGAAGATGGGTGGCCCGAAAGCATTAGCAGCGGCGGCAAGTTTCCCTAGCAATCAATCCTAGCAAGTTCTCTGTGTAAGTTGCGCATCTGAGCAAGTTGTTGGCGTGAGTTCCTCTGAGCAAGTTCTCCAAGCAAGTTCTCTCAGCAAGTTGCTCTGAACAAGTTTCCTCTATTCGCGAAACACTTTCGTACTTAAAAGTTGCGATTTTCCAGCCAGAGCTGCGAAAGTTTACTTCGCGTGCTACTTTGGTACTGCAACGTTGCGATATTCCAGCAGGAGCTGCGAAAGTTTACTTCGCGTACTACTTTCGTACTCAAAAGTTGCGATTTTCCAGCCGAAGCTGCGAAAGTTTACTTCGCGTGCTACTTTGGTACTGAAAAGTTGCGATTTTCCAGCCGGAGCTGCGAAAGTTTTCTTCGCGTACTGCTTTCGTACCTGGATCTCCTGGAAGTTAAGAATTCCTACTCCAAAATTGACAAAGTACTTTTTGGCCTGAGGACACGGGTATTTCCACTTTCGAACGGGTATTTCTACTCTTGAACGGAAATTTTCACTACCATCGAAGTGTTCATAAATCAGCGCTGCACATAAATTATCAAAGGCTTATTGCGTAATGTTGGCGTATTTTTTACGTACCTCCGAACAGGTCCGAACGGGTCCGAACGGGTACGAACGGGTTCGAACGGGTTCGAACGGGTTTCGAACGGGTTTCGAACGGGTTCCGAACGGGTCCGAACGGATGCCTGAGCAGTCGGAACTACCCGAACGGGCATTTTAACACGGATTGAAAACTATCACTCCAGCATGGAAGAAAGTACTTTTTTCTTTTTGGAGTGGGAATTATTAACTTTCAAGAGATGCAGGTACTTAAAAGTTGCGATTTTCCAGCTGGAGCGGGATTGCAGGAGCCACGAGACAACTTCCAAAGGCCATTTTGCGAGCAAGGAAATCGCACGGCGCCACAGCGGGAGCGCTTCGACACGCACGATCTCCGCAGAGGGTTCGCCGAGACTAGGACGAATTCGCACGGCAGCGCAGCGAGAGCGCATCGACACGCACGATCTCTGCAGAGTGTCGCGCGCGCACCGCAAGAATCATAAACAAAACCCGCAGTTTTTTTGACATCTGCACGCGGGTCTCCGCAGGGTCGCGCGCGGCTTGCAAGAATCGTACAAAAATCCCCAGTTTTTGAACCTCGACCACGCGGATCTCCGCAGAGGGTCGCGCGGGCACCGCAGAAATCGCAAAAAGTCTTCAGTTTTTTTCCTCGACCACGCGGATCTCCGCAAAGGGTCGCAATCCCGAGCGATGATCAAACTCCCAACACAGCGCCTTAGAAACCTAAACTAACTTACATAGATGCTTACGCCGAAGCTCTACGCAAGCTCTACCAAACCTTGGCTCTGTGCCACTTGGCTCTGTGCCACTTGGCTCTGTGCCACTTGGCTCTGTGCCGCTTGGCTCTGTGCCACTTGGCTCTGTGCAACTTGGCTCTGTGCAACTTGGCTCTGTGCAATGCAATGCAACTTGGCTCTGTGCAACTTGGCTCTGTGCAACTTGGCTCTGGCAACTTGGCTCTGTGCAACTTGGCTCTGTGAAACTTGGCTCTATGTAACTTGTCCAAGGGCTCCGCACGGAAGAACCCTTCGCGATGCTTTCGGGAATAATTAATATATATATATATATAAACCTTTTTCCAGTAGTGATAGATTCCCTTAAACCAACAGGGGAAAAATGAAATTATTCTTAACCAAATGGAAGGGTCTGATGGGACCAGAGGTCCTTCCTTGGGCTTCGGCGCGGTCTCCTGCCAGCTGCTGAGCACTGCCTCGCCATTCGCCACTTCAGCCACTTCAGCCACTGCCACGTCCACGTTGGCCTAGCGGCAAATGTGCATTCCTTCCGGTGCGCTGAAAACAAGTGTTATCTCATGGTATCTCCTCCAGTCAACATCAACAAATTCCTGAAACAAAACATGGCATGTTTCAGGGCCATTTGTCAGCCACAAGCAAAGCTGCTTATTGGATGTGATTGAGTGCAAATCCAATCCGTTAGTGACTTTCAAGTCTGCATGACAGCTGAAGGACATCTTTGGCCGAGACAGACCAGAACTCGGGCCGATGACCATGCAAACGGAAAACAAAAACCCATTGACTTTTTGCACCTACATGGTTATGGGCCTTACCATATCTAGGCAGGAAAGTGAGAGAACCAGCTACTCAAGTTGCCAACGATGATGTAAACACTCAGGCTCCTCTTTGCGGGGGTGAACCCTGCTCACAAAGTGGGGTGGTGGAACCCTGGTGAAGCCACATATGGGAGTTTCTTCAAATCGGAGAACCCCCAAACATCGCGAGTTTCCTGTTACAAACAATGAACAAAACCCACAAACCAAAAAAAACATGCCAAGAACAGCAAAGATTGGACTGACCCATGCCACAGGCCATGCAAGGCCTTCCCGTTGCGCATCTGAAACTACCCAAATTGTCTGGCAACCAGTGGCCGCATGACGAAGCACTCATGGATTTCATGGCATGGGAGAACAACTTCATCAACACTTCGTCTCGAGCGTGTCTTTCGAACTGACAGGTGAGCTTCCGGGTGAGGTTCAATGGGTGTCCTTTTTGGCACCCAAAACATTGTGCTTTTCTTGACGTTGACTTGAAACCAGAAAAAGCGACCTCAAAAAAGAACGCGCAAATGGGACCCCCCCATGCCGTCCCTCCTGCACCTCTGGCTCCTTCACGTCCACCCCTCTCGCCTGACTCCTGAGTCGAAACGCCTTTCGAACCCAGGTGCCAGCTGCTTCTTTTTCTGAAAATGCGGGGAAGAAACTGCACCATTAACCCTCTTGGCGCAAATTCTCACAGAGAAGACAACCAACAACACATGCAAAACTTTCTGAGCACACTGTGTGACACTGCAAACATGCAGGAACTGTATATAACCCCTCCCTCACACAGTCTCATAGATATCTCACTGAGTCAGCAAATCCAACAGCAACAGTTGCATTTCCAAAACACCCAAGTAATAGCCATTGAAGGATCCTTCGGCTGATTTCAAACATTCGAGGAAGCAAACACCAGTGCCACACCTTGACAAGTTGCCCCGGTGACCCTAGTGGAAAAGGCTAAGGTTGAGACAAGCGAAAACACGCACATCTCTCAATGTATGGCTGCGGATTGTGCACATGTGCGGGTGCGTCGTCTTTTTTGAAGTTGGTCCCTCCTTGTCTGGTGGTTTGAAGATGAAAACAGAAGCCATTTTGGTTGTCCCTGCAAAACGACACACCCTGGTAGCAGCCAGACTGATTGATATTCGTTATGCGTCTTAGCCAGGGTCACTAATCAGCTGGTCTGCATTTTGTAGCGGCAAGCGCGCCCAAGCAGCACATGTCGTGGCCAGGGAGAAACACATCATGGTTTGCAAGTGGACATTCAGCAACGGCTAGCTTTTCTATTATACTTGTGCAAGCATAGACACTAAACCGACAAGGGGAGTCCCAACAAACTCTCGATGTCAAATGTGCCATAAAGAAACCTGAGGATATACTTGGCAATAGGAGGCGGTCCCGCCTGGTGACCGCCAGGTGATTGGAACCGAGTTTCTTCTTGGGCGTGCTTCTTCTTGAGGGCACCTTTGTTTTGTGTGCTTCTTAAAGTGAAACTAAAAAGAACACCACCACTTCACCTTTCTGTTGGGGTCCCCCTGCAGAACAAACAAACCACAGACCCAACGGCCTTCCCAGCATGGAACCCAAGAGTTCCAAGGGCATTGAAGTCCTTGGCAGGAGCTTCGGCCGCGCACTGACTCCGGCCACCGCGCCTGGCCAAGGAGGACCAAAGGCTCGGATCCTGCAACAAATGGGACCCGAGTCTGCTTCCTCAACACACACACGCACACTCTGTGGGGTTCGCAAGGGAACGCCCATGCTGGTGTTTGATCTTGGCAAGCTAAATGATATCCAAATCTTGGTTTGCAGGAACAAGCGCATGTTCCAGTGACTTTCTGAGTCTATGCCTCCAGCAGGACTGGGGAAGGAGACTTCTCAAAGCAATGGCCACACCAGGAGGACAGACCGAATGGAGGCATCACGCCCTCTCCAAGTGTTTAACAGGTTGTGACGCCCCAGCCTGGGTGTGCCATTTCTTCTCGGGACGTGCGATTCCCATGCGAGGCAATGTCGAGTCCAGATTGGACATGGCGGATTGTAAGCCTCTCTATTGATCCAGCACATGGCTCGTCCATGCTTACCTTTCAGGCACCAGAGCAAAAAAAACGCCGAGCCCACCAAGCAGCAGAGCCGCCGGCCCGGCGCCAGAAGACCCAGCCTGGCAATTCCCAGGACGGCCGTCACCCAACCCTTGTGCTGTTGTTGGTATCTCGTGTGGGAGAGGAGCAAAGCAGACCTCAAGTGCCAGGCGCTGTATCCAAACCAAGCATTTAACACTTCTGCCATCCAACCCGCCAACCTACAAGGACCCAACCTATAGCGGACCCAGGAAACGAGGCTTCAGGTCGAAGCAAACCCACTGGACCGCGATGTCGCGCTTTCCATTTGCCCGATCGAATTTATGAAACCTCGGCTTGCCTCAGCTTTCGCGTGGGAGCGATGTGGCGCCGCTGGCGTCTCGGCTTCGCGCTGGCTGTTTCGGAACCGGGAAATGCGGTCTTCCCCCAACACTGGGGCTCGGAAACAAAAACCTGCAGGTTCAAACGGAACCTCTTGTGCTTGTCTTGGGGTCACGTTTTTTTTGTGGAACGCTTGCAATTTTCTGGTCCCTTGAAACGATCGCCACTGTTGGAGGTTCCAAAAAGGGAACTGGAGGAAATTCTGCTCAAGCACCTTCTTTGCAGCGCTCTGTAGTCGTGTCCCCCTCGTAACCAGCATCTGAGACAAAAAATATGCGTACCTGAACCGTGCTTGACCTTCAGTTTATGGGAATCCTCTCTTCCACTTGCTTAAGCCCCGTGGAGAGAACAAAAAACAAAACATTTCCAGTAGTGATAGATTCCTTTTACAACCAGCCAGCAAATATTCTTAAATGGAAGCTTGCGGTTCAACAGTCCAACATCACACATGCCAGGGGCTTGCGGTTCACCGCGCCCATTCGAAGGATCTTAAGACTGCCGTTGTTTAAGTGGGGAACGGTTGCGCAACCCACTCGGGCGAACATTGAAAGCTAGCACACATGAGCCTATAGTTCTTTGCGTAAACTCAAAACACCCAACTGAAGCAAAGAATCCTCAAACAAAGAAATACATCATCGATCCGTGCGATCACTGTAGCGGATGACCCTGCTTGTGTGTTGAAAGTTGAAGGGTTCAAGAAACGATACAACTACCAAGGAACCCTTGTGGACGTTTTCTTGGAACCCAAGCGGAAACCGGAGCCTGTTTTCAACCCAACCAACAAGGACACCTGGGCCAGCACTCCCACCGGGCAGTGTTTGCTGAGCTTCTCACAGAAAGGCTTGGCGCGCTCAAGAATGCCAAGCCTCCGCAAGTTCGGTCTCATGCCGCTTGCCTTGGACACGCATGTTTGAGCCTCATTGCAACATTAAAGCATTGGTTTCATAAACTCCCGAGCCAAATATTTTGGTTTCGTTGCAACAAAACCACTGGAAATTCTAGCTGTGGTGGCATCCTACAAAAAGGGACCTTCCTTTGCAACGTGCTAAAAGGCGAGGCAAAGGGGAACACCAATCAGTTTGTTGTTTTCCACGAGAATAAGCCTGGTGTCATCTGTAAACAACCTGGTGTTCCGCGCATATGTGTGCCCGCCTGTATGTCTGTTTGTCTGTCGGTCAGCCGGTCTGCCTGTCAACGTTGATAGGGGTCAACGTTATGGTGAATTCTTCACTGGCTAAGGTCTGGTTCGTTTTGAGGGGGCAGGCCTGTCCCGCAGGCCAGGGCAGCGGCACCTGGCGAAAAAAGCGCATCCCGAAAACGGCTTAAGGGAGGTTGAACATGATCTACTTAAGGCCCCCAAATGAGCATGGGTAGCTTTTTTCCAATGAACTATTTCATGTTTTTGAGTGGTTTTCCAACATCCCAGGTAGGACCTTCCCTGCAGGCACTTGGCTTTGCGGATGGGTTACCAAGCTGGCAGCGAAGTCAAGCTTGGGTTTGACTGCGAGGGCCAGTTGCAGGCAAAGTCCAAGCTGACAGCTGTACCCCTAGATTTTCGGATATGCATGATGCTTTCGTACCCAGTGGCCTGCAGCTGAAAGCAGCTGCAAGATAGGCACTTGCTTGCAAGAGACCGTCTACCCAAGTGCCCGGCGCTCAACGGTTGCGTGCGAAACCAAGCTCTTTCTTTTCGAGCCTCACCCGGGACGACTCGTTTTTGGTCAAGGACTTAAGTGAACGGCAAAAGTTGTTTAATTCCTGTGGGGAACCGGGTGGGGGGCCGATCCGAGAAATACTGGCCGGCCTGCGCCGCGATTTCGACGTGCCTCAGACGGAATCGGGAAGAAGAAAGGAGCAAAGAGAAATCGGCTCCCCAATTTTCTGAGAGACCTTCTAAGCGGTCCTGTCCCAAAGAAAACACAACCGACGTTCAAGGGAAGGAAAGTCCATCAAGCAAGTCCTTTTCCATCGTCCAAGGGTGGTTTTCTGAAGGGTGATTTAAACGTAACCAAGTCGTCGTCCAAAAACAGAGCCCTGGTCAAGTTTGGCGAGTAACTTTCATGCAGAGGGCCGACAACCTTCCAAATGCGCCCGAAAAGAAGTTAAGAACGGTCACCAAGGAGCAAGGGGCATTTCAACCCCAAGCACAGGAAAAGTGCCCCCTCCCCGTGTTCTCACCCCCACCCCTCCGCCCCCCCTCCGCCCCGCTCCCCCCTGTTCCATTTTCAAGGGGGTAGGTGAGGGAGCCCCAAAAGTCCCGCCCGATTGATCAGCCAGCAGATGAGAGTGCCAAACTTTCCTGGGAAAGCCCCACTGAAATGGCTTTGGTTTCGGTTGTTCCGCTTGGAAACCCCATTTGAAACCACAAAAAAACAAGAGTACCAAATCGAAAAAAATGAGCCGCTCATAGGGAACCATCCCCCAAAATGTAAATCATGAAGGCCCTGAGCCGCAGCACATGTTCTGTTTGCGCGACGGAAACCAGGGGGATAATGGAACCCCAGTCAACGCGGCCTGACCAACAGGTCGGTGTGAGTCTTCAAATGAGACGAGTTCCAATCGCAAAGCCCCAATACCGGCGAGGAACCAAAAAAACGGGAAAACCACTAACAAGTGCCATGACACTACCACAGGCCAGCTGGCCGCAGAAGTGCCGCTTTTTGGAGAGCAACGTGGGGAAAACATGCGCTATGAAGCTGCGAGTCGATGGGGTGCTTCTTTCTTTTGCACCAACCCATGCGAAACCTCGGACATTGGACACGCCGAGACCGCAAATGAGGCTGATCGAGCAGCAAGAATACGTGGCCTTCTGCAATCTGCAACAAACGCACACACACACACACAGCCGTTGAAATCGCAGTGCTCTATCTGCAAATCTCTGCTGCCCCATAGAGAGTGATACAATACGATGCAGTTCGCCGATGTAAGTGGTGACGTAGTCTTGTTGACAGTGGTGTACCTTTCGGAACCGACCAGGGAAACGTCCAAAGTCGTCAGACGTGAACGATGCGCAAGTGACACAAACCCCAAAGCTCACGCCCTAAGCTCCCGGCCATGGCACCGGATCAAAAAAGCGAAAAGGAAACGACTACATTCGACTCAGCAAAAAACGCTGCAGGCGAGTGACGCAAAACGCCACGAAGATCCGAAACATGAAAAGACAGATATGGGAGTTGATCAAGATTCTGTTTAGGGCTCCCAAATGACCGTGGGTAACTTAGTCATCTTGTTTGGCGGTTTCCCTGATGGTCATCCCATGGAAAGGACCTTTTGATCAACCCGCATATACTGATGGAAAACAATGACGCAGTTTTGAGTAGCCCAGGAATGGATGCTGGCATGCGAGGACAAAGCCACCGAGGAACCACTATACAATGAGAAGCCAGCCGGTGGTGGGGGGTCTTCCATCAGAACACGCTTAAGGTGACCAATGTATGCGTCAAAGGGACCTCGTGGAGCGGTCAAAACAATCTTTTGAAACCTCAATCAAGGAATCAAGGTTTCAAAGCCTCCTGCTCCTCTTCCGAACCAATTTTCTCGCCAGCTTTTGACCGGCTTGGCTGGATGTCTGGGATTCGGGGCTTCTTGGGTCCGGCAGCGTCCTAGTGCCGGCTGAAGCAATAATGTTGACCCTGGATGAATAAGCCCGTGCTTATTTTGGGGATGTCCCCGGTGTTAGTGGGGATTTATCACTTTTGGAGGGGAACACCCCCATATTCATAAACTGGGGTTCAAACAATATCCGGGGTCAACATTAGGAAGGGCTCACACTTGGGTCGTGGCAAGTCCTGCTTGGATCAAGGTCAGGCCATTAAGAGCCCGAATCGGGGAGAGTCAGAAGACTCGAACCTGCTTTTTCACGAATCTTTCGCGCGGGAGTCATATGATTCCTATGCAACCAAACATGTTAAGTGCCCATCAGGCAACGTGGTGCCTCGTCAGTTGCTGGAAATTTCAAAGCTGAATTCACTGGACATCCTGCTAGTTTGTTGACATGTTTATCATGTCACGGGTTTCCTTGAATTTCAGTTCATACATATTGCAAGTGACACAGGTGCACCCCTCCAGATTGAGAGTTGCACAAGTTGGAGATGCCCGGGTTTGGTGCGTCTAAACCTCGATCGGAGCACTGTGCACTTCTGATTCTTCACAGGTTCCCCAGGTGTCTCCTTGACACTCCTGCTCGTTCTCTTCGACATAACACCATGGCCCGTGCGCGTGCTCGTTTGGATTGCCACAGGTGTTTGGCACACGGACTTCTTTGCCATCTCCTTGACCAATGTTCAAGCCCAAACTCAGCCTTCAAATATGTTTGCCATTATTTTAGTAAATGGCAAAACAAACGTTACAACAACGATCGTAAGGGTCCACCAAGGTCGAACAATCAAGGAATAATCACAATTCAAGGCTCATCTGCTGCTGGTTTCTTTTTCGAAACAAAGGAAACACAGACACACTTATAGACCAAGGATGTTGCCAAAGGTTGACCGAGCGAGTCACTCTTGAAGGTCCAACCATTACGGTGTCGTTTGCATCTGCAGCCCTTAGTGGTGAAGCTGGTGTATGTAGCACATCGCGCCAAGTGCAAGCCGCCCAGGCTGAACTTGTCTTTGCAGGACTCGTCCACCACACACATGGGGAAGTGATTGACGTAGCCTGGATTGCCACAGGCAGTGCCTTGGATTTGGAGCAGAGATGGGCCCAAAAAACAAGGATTCGTTCCACAAACATGTTCCATGTCTCTGTCATTCACTATCCGGTTTTGGGGTAGAGACTTCGGAATCGCCAAAACAACACATACGTCCGTGGATGTTTGTTTAAAACACGTGCCAGCTTTCATCCGTGCTACTGCTCTTCTCACCAAACAAAGTCCATGGCCCTTCCTTGCAATCACAACCTCCCAAGGATACGGGGCGACAAAGGTCGCATTCCACGGCCCACGTCTGCAAACGCAAGCCGCCGTTGCAGTCGCAGCAGTACTTCTTGGACGCCCACTCTGCACAGCTCTTGATGCGACCTTTCTCCTGCAATTGGCAGCGATGCAAACCAGTGCGGCAAACAACGGAAAGCGCAAATGAGACTCCAGAGGGCACCCGCCCCGCGAATCATATTGAAAGGGTTAGGATAGCATCCGGCGAGAGTATCCTCTAATACCAACTTGTTTGGTTTGCCTTTGGCTTGCCTTTGGTTTACCTTTTGGTTTGCTTTGGGTGTGCCTTTGGTTTGCCTCTGGTTTGCGTTTGGTTAACCCTTGGCTTGCTTAACGTTTGCCTTTGGTTTGTATTTGGTTTCCTTTTGAGCTACCGTTGGTTTGCCTTTGGATTGCTGCTTTGCCTTTGGTTTGCCTATGGATTGCTTTTTGGCTTTGCTTTCGGATTTGCTTTTGGTTTGCGTTTGGTCAGCTTTTGGTTTGCTTCGGTTCGCTTTTGGTTTGCCTTTGGCTTGCTTTTGGTTTGCATTAGGTTTATCTTTAGTTTATCTTTAGTTTGCCTTTTGTTTACCTTGGGTTTGGTTTTGGCTTGCGTTTGGTTTGTCTTAGGTCTTCCTTTCGTGTCCTTTTGGTTTGCGTTTGGTGTACCTTAGGTTTACTTTTGGTTTGCCTTTGGTTCACCTTCGGTTTGCCTTTGGTTTACTTTGCTTTGCTTTTGGGCAGCTTTGGCCTGCTTTGGTTTGCATTTGGATTGCCTTTGGTTTGCTTTTTGCCTTTGGTTTACCTTAGGTTTGCGTTTGGTTGGCTTTGTGTTTACGGTTGGTTTTCCTTTGGCTTGCTTTTGGTTTGCCTTTGGTTTGCTCTTGGCTTTCCTTTGGTTTCATTTGGGTTTACCTTTGGTTCGCCACTGGCTTGGTTTTTCTTTGCTTTTGGTTTGGGTTTGGCTCGCGTTTTCTTTGCTTTTGGCTTGGGTTTGGCTCGCGTTTTCTTTGCTTTTGGCTTGGGTTTGGTTCGCTTCTGGTTTGCGTTTGGTTTGCGCTTGGCTTTCCTTTGGGTTCGTTTTGGCTTGGCCATTGGTTTTCATTTGGTTTGCTTTTGGTTTGCCTTTGGATTGCCTTTGGTTTACCTGTGGTTTGCCATTGGTTTTCCTTTGGCTTGCTTTTGGCGGCTTCTGGTTTGCTATTGGTTTGCCTTTGGTTTGCTCTTGGCTTTCCTTTGGTTTCATTTTGCATGGTTTGCTTTTGCTTCTCTTTCGGTTTGAGTTGGGCTTGCTTTTTCTTGCTTTTGGCGTTGGTTTGGTTCGCGTCTGGCGTGCGTTTGGTTTGCTCTTGGCTTTCCTTTGGTTTCGTTTTGGCTTACCTTTGGTTCGCCGTTGGTTTGCTTCTGGCTTGCTTTTGCTTTGCTTTTGGGTTGGGTCTGGCTTGTGTTTTCTTTGCTTTTGGCTTGCTTTTAGTTGGGTTTGACTTGTCTGTGGTTTGCCTTTGGTTAGCTATTGGTCTGCCTTTGGATTGCCATTGATTTACCTTTGGTTTGCTTTTGGTTTTGCCTTTGGTCTGCTTTTGGTTTACCTTTGGTTTGACTTTGGTTTGACTTTGGTTTGCTTTTGGGTTGCTTTTGATCAGCTTTTGGTTTGATTCGTTTGGCTTTTGGTTTGCATTTGGTTTGCCTTCGGTTCGCTTTTGGCTTGCTTTGGGTTTGCTTTCGGTTCACCTTTGGTTTGCCTTTGGCTTGCTTTTGGCTTACCGTTGGCTTGCTGTGGGTTGACCTTTTGTTGCCTTTGGCTTACCGTTGGCTTGATCTTGGTTTGCCTTTGGTTTGCCTCTTGTTTTCGTTTGGTTTGCTTTTGGGTTGCTTTTAGTTTGCCTTTGGGTTGCCTTTGGTTTTACCTGCGGTTTGCCATTGGTTTTCTGTTGGCTTGCTTTTGGCTGCTTCTGGTGCTTTTGGTTTGCTCTTGGTGTGCCTTTGGTTTACTTATGGTTTGCCTTTGGTTCGTTGGGCCCAAGCCAGCTAGACCCAAGTCAGAGAACGCCCATATCTGCACAACCCTTCTAAGCGCTAACGCACATGCAAGCAACAACCCAAACCAGCGCTGACTCACATGGCAGGGAATGGGTGCCTGCTTTGTCGCTGTGTCACACTCCCGAAATGCCCAGCCAGCACATTGGCCCAACGAAAACTGCCCCGCTGAGAATTGCCGGAATATTACCAGCGACAGGGGGCCTCTCTGCGACGAACAGAGCTTGCGCGGATGCAATCAGTGTGTAGCATGTTCCAACAGGTGATGGCCTCGCCCAGTGCTTTCAAGGTAATGAGTGGAAAGCACGACTAAAAAACTGAAAGGCGACAGACTCCCAGTTACCTACCGAAGAAGCGAGCGACCGAAAGCGATAGCCAGTGAATGCCGAGCGCTAAAAGCATCCAAAAAAGACGCCTAAAATTTAACCGTCTTTTTGAAGCCATTGCTCGCACGGAAAAGGATGCGTGGACACGCCAGGAAACAGCTCGCTCGAACAAAACATGAAGCCCAAGCGTCAGCATCCCCAGCATCCCCGGCATCCCCAGCATCCCGCGTACTGGCTGAGCCAGCACCCCCAGCATCCCCAGCATCCCCGAGGCAGGTCCACGCGCGCAGTAAGCAAGCAAGGAGAAGCAGAGAAATAGCCGTCTTTTTTTGACCCAGAAAATGCAAAAAAAAACACGCAAAACGAGCCAGCTAGCTGGCAGAAAGCACCTCGCAAAATCATGGTAAAACGCAGGTTTTTGCACACAAATGCAGCGAGCGAGCAATTCCCGGACAGATGGAAAAGACACCCAAATTTTAGCCGTCTTTTTTTGGCGCGAAATTCTGCAAATCAGGCCGACCAGCCGACCCTCCCCCCCCCCCTGTGGTCCAACTCTCAACCGATTCAAAGAAGCGCTTTCCGTCATCGCGAGAATGAGCAACCAACCACAACATTCCTCGTTTCACAACATGTCACAACCCTTTTTGCAACGTAGCTCTTTTGTTGGATGCGTGTTTTTTCCCATTCCCACAGGATCACCAAGGCGTAGCCTGATGTTCGGCCAGACATCTTGGGACGTAAATCACACTGGGCATTGGATTGCATTAGGGACCCTCTGGACATCATTTAGGTGGGGCTTTAGAGTCCATCACTTTCCAGGGGGTTCCTTGTTGAAATTCCTGGCCTGGACAAATTGCAGTGATACACCAGCCAAACATCAAGTTCAAGAAAGGAACTTTCTTCGTACCTGACGTCGTCAAGCTCCGTGACGTCGCTATGAGCCTATTTTGGGTACCGCGAACGCCCAATGGAGGGCTTGCATGGGCGACTCAAGCAAAAACGCACATCAACTCTTTCAACATGATTGCGGCTGGCCGTCTGGCCAGCTAGGTCCTGCATCCTCACATAGTCATCACAATTCCGGTTGTATTTGTCTTTCCACGGTGCACCGCCTTTCTGGAGGTCAATACACGAATGCTCGCCATACTCACCCAGCAAGTGGCTCAGGCAAAGGCCATTCCTTGCAACGCGAGTAGTTGATGGAAAGGAGTGCAGGAATCCAAAGAACTTGACGTCCCCAGAAAGATCAGGGCATTTAAAGCAAGGGCTTCTGAATCTGTCTTCTTTTGGAAAAAACATGAATTGGAGGCACTGAGTCTGAGCATGGCCCGCATTCATTAACCTGCCGCCTTGTCACTTTTGCCGGGTGAAAACAGCAAGAGCAGTACAAAGATAAGGATGAGACGGTGAAGCAACTGCGCAAAAGCTCTTGCTCAGGGCCTACTTTTGCCCTTTCAACTTTGGGCAATATTCCCGCTTGTTGACAAAGACACCCAGCCAGTTAATGGAAACCGCGTCCATATCGTGGAATCAATCTCTATCAAAGTCACACGAAAAAGAGTAGGGAAACATTGGCAAATGAGCAGAAGACAAGGGCCATCCCCCCCTGCTAGTCAGCTAGTCGATATCCCTTGGTGGTTTGGATTGGTGGTTTCGTGCTACTGGAGCATCCATCGCCTTATTTAGTTTGCATGCCCAGAAACAAGACCGTTTGCAACCTTCACTATGGACCAAAAAACTGGAAAACCAAAAGGTCAACAGGTCGGCTTTAGCTGAGAATCAAGTAATCCACAAAAAAGTTTCGCTAGTGGAGCACTCATTTAGCTTCCACAAGGCCCATCCCAGTCTCAAGGCCAGTTACACTCCCCCAGGCAGTCGCCCCAGTCCAGCCCCCTTCCAGACTCGACCAAAAATTGGCCATGGCTCTCAGCTCTGTAGAGATCGGCAACTTGATCGGCATCCAGTTGTGTCAGGCCAACTCGATTTCCCATTTTGTAGAGGTGATACAAACCTTGGCAAAGACCAAAACAACAGCACGCAATTGCTGACGAAATCAAAGCGCGCAACAACACAGCAGCTACAGTACCTTTGGATGCTAAGTACCGTTGATGATTTGTGTTCAAAGTCGACCTAACCCTTTGGTAGCTGGTGTATCACAGTCTCGTATTGACAACCGGGCATGCCTCCTTTTGAGGGTACCCGTTTAGGGGTTCTTTGAAAAGGAAACAAACGGAACACCAGCAATAACCGGGGTTCCCATCGTGGAAGCAGCCCCCATTTCTTTTGCTATGATCCACCTATCCATGCCAGTTCTGACAGTCCTGCCAGTTACGAATGTAGTCTTGCTTCGGTTGGGCCCACATTCACCACCATCTTCAGCCCATCTTGTAAAGCCCAACAGGAACGTGTTTTGTCTGAGTCACTTGCGTTGTCGGTGTAAAGCTCATAAGCCTTGTCCTTGGCGGTGATGGTTGGCTTGCCATCGGTGGAAAAGGAGTCCGCATCATAGTGCATGATGGACAAGAGATCGTAGGGCCGCTCCGTGTCACCTGTGGCCAAACTGGGAAGCCGGAAAGGCAAACGGCACGGCAACCCAAAAGAAGGGCACTATGTTCGCCCGTGTTTATCCTTTGGGTCAGAAAGTTTCTACCTTTGGGATTGACCATTCAGGTCGTCAAAGCGACAGGCAGACCTGGGCCCAAACAAATCAGGAAGGCGCAACAACATCGTGCAAACTGTTGCTGACAAAAGCAGCTGGTATCTGTCCACGCAAGCTTTCGGTGCGCGTTTCTCTGCGCAAGTTTCTTGGCGCACGATCTCTGAACGAGTTGCCGGTGGAAGTTTCTCCACGCAAGTTTCCCGAGCAAGCAAGAATTGGCGATGCAAACAAGAATTGGCGATGCTTTTGGGGAAAGGGTCCAACAACCAGGAATCCATGTACATATATAAAAATATATGTACGTATACAGACACATACATAGATTATATATATATATACACACACGTATTTTGGCACTTCCACCCATTGCATTTTTTTCCAATGTCTGCCTTTAAATCAGCTAATGCACGAATGCACACCAACTCTTCTGCTTCCTTCCCGCCTCTTGGATTAATGTCAAAGTTGTGCTTTTTCCCCTCGCGGATCCGACTTGCGTGGATTTCCACGTACTCATCCCGATCCGGTCGCGCTTGCTCGTGGCTCATGCCCAAGGCATGTCCCATTTCGTGGATCGCAGTGCCCACGGAATCGCAGCCCGGACTCTGCAGGTTCAACTGCTGAGACTTCCGGTTTTTCAACATCCCCACGTAGGACCAACATCCTTTTTCGGAGGAGGTGATCAACACTGCAGGAGACTCTTGACATTCCTCGTCCGACATTAGGCCCACATCGTTCCACTGGATGCAGGGAACCGCCTTCTTGTACTGTTGGATGGCACTTTGAACTGCCTCTTTGACACCTCAGCTGTGCATGTGTGGTTTGTTCCTCAGTAGTTCCTTGCCTGTTGCAGATTCAAGTCATCAACTCATGAAAAGTGCCAAATTCCCCAATCGGCCCCCACCCCACCATGCCGAGCCTTCAAGAGATTTCCCCGCTCTGACGAGTTGTTTTTGAAGCTTGGACACAGAACGACTTTGTGTAACCCGAGACACGATCTGTCGCGCTGTGATGGAAGCAAAAGTTCACGATTCCCTTGGTCCACGGCGTCCCAGTACCGAAGCTGCCTCGGGGATCAGCCAACAACCTTGAGCTGATGTTGTTTGCTTTTTGTTGGGCTGTTTTCTCATCATTGATCATTCAACATTGAACGACATAGGCTGGAATTGAAAAAAAGAAGAAAACACACGTGAAACCTTTCTACCCTTGTACTCTAGTATGGCCTAGTATCGGTTTCCCCTCAGCATGAAACTTTGTCGCCCATCCATATAAAGCCAACCCTTGGTTGTTCGCTCTCATTGAAACCAAACAAAGCAAATTGCCCCTTCCCTCAACAGGTTGAACATGTCAGAATGGTGGATCAAAGCTCGAAATGGTTGATCTCATCAGTTTTGGGTTGCCTTTGCCCCTTTGACCCCCCTTTTTCCCCGAAGGGTCCCAACAGTTCAGCGGTTGAATTTTGTTTTGCCTCCTGCCTCTGGCCTTCCTTGTTTGCGCCTCCGCCGTGTCGACGAACTTCTTGAGCTGATCGCTGTCAGCTGGCACCATGTCACCCTGGAAGGCTCCCTTCTTGGCATCCTGCAATGGACATGTTCACCAAAACCCACCGGGCGGCACATGCCACCCATGCTTTGCTACTGCATGAGCCCCTGCTTTTGCGTTTGAACGGTTGAGGGATGCGAATACTGCAAAAAAGGGCGCCGAGCTCTAACAGGTTATGAGCCCAAACTGCTCGCGCACATGGCGCTGATGAGGAGGCGGCGTTCCGGCCGGGTAAGCCCTGGCAGGGAAGCTGAGGAGAGCCGGGCACCGGCCGGAGAAGGCGCGCTGGTGGCGGACGAGGCGGGTGAGCCTGGGGAGGATGGGCCGATGGGCGGTGGAGCAGTCCGGGATGCCCATTCGGCAGATGGCCGGGGCGGAGATCCCGGGGATGTTTCGCGGGCAAGGCCAGCGTCAAGGACGAGAGGAGGTGTGCCGCAGGCGCTGAGGCCAGGAATGGATGATGAACAGATGGTGGCCGCAGAGGAGAGCTCGCGGGAGCGCTTCGGCATCCAGGCAAAGGAGCACTTCGAAGCTGAGCTCTATGGGATCCGGGCGGGAGAGCTCTTCAAAGGCGAGCCCTACGGCATCCAGGAGAGGGAGCTCTACGGAACCAAGCTCTACTACCCGAAGGTCGAGGTCGGTAGAGAGGAAAGGTGGAGGAGAGCCTGTGGTGGGTGTGAACCCTTTCTGGTCTGAAAGAGTTGAGGAGGAGATGAGGTTGAGAGAAGCAAGACCGGAAGGGTTGCCGCCGGTTCCGGAATCCGGTGATGAGGAGGAAGTGGCGAGGACACCTTTGAGGGCTGTTCAGGAGGAGACCGCAGCGCAGGGGAGGAAGGCCAGAGCCTTTATGACACCGGAGGAGCGTGCCGTGGAGGAGAAAAGGGACCGGGCACTGCAGGCGGTCAAGGAAGACAGGGAGAAGAAAAGGAGCGGTCTGGAGGCAACGCCTCGAGGAGATGGTGCAGGGAGCGCCAAGGACCGGGTGGGTTGATCGATTGGAGAAGGAGCTGGACCGGGTGTTCGTGGAGGAGTACGGAACGGTCAGCATGAACCTGGCGGAGGCGCTGAGGCAACGGAACGAGCTGAAGAACAAGGTGGAGCGTCTCGAGCTCGAGAAGGCGGTGATCGAGAGCGAGGCGGAACAACATAAGCGGATGGCGGAGCTGTGGGAGTCTAGGGCGGTGCAAGCTGAACGTCACGTGGAGTTGCTGACGGACCAGATCTTGGTGTTGGAGCAGCAGCCGCAGCCGCAATTTCACACGCCACAGCAGGAAGAAGAGGTGAAGCCACCGAGGATGGGGACACCGCCACCGCCACCCCCGGGGAAAAGGCAGAAGCTGGAAAGAACCCCGGGCGGAACTAGGTTGCCGGAAGGACCTCCGCCGGACGAGGAATGGCCCTGTGCGGAGAACGATTGGGTGGTGGACGGGATCAGCTACAAGCCGGCGTGGGCCAGGGGGCGGTCGGCATCTAGAGGAGAAAGGAGGGCGCCCGGGGCGCCGCCGTGGACGAGGTCGAGGTCGGGGTGCAGGAAAGAAGAGGGCCATGGAGGAGGAGCAGGAACCAAGGAAGGTGCCGGGAAGACGAAGGATAGGGTGGAGGTGAAGGAGCTGCCGAATGAAAGCGGCCGGGCCACGGAGTTGCCGCAGTTGGTGGATGATGGAAGTCCGCTGACGTTTGGGGACTGGATGGCGACCATCGAGCACAACATGAAGGACATCTCCACCTACAGCGCTATGTGGTGGGAAGATGTGTGCGACAGCGCCAAGGTGGCCTACGCGGAGTGGTTGGTGGCCAGTCCGCTGGAACGTTTGCGGATCAAGCCCGAGCTGCCGGTTGTCTGCTTGGATTTGCCGCGGACGGAACAGAGGGGGGTGGCCATGGTCTTGAAGGCCCTCCCGGAGCAGGTGAAGAAGGAGCTGGTGGCGAACAGGCAGCTCAGCATGGTGAACATCATCTACAGGCTGTACATCCTGTATCAGCCGGGAGGAGCATCCGAGAGGCAGCAGATCCTGAATGCACTGCTGGATACCAAGGGAGGAAACGCCTCGGAGGTAGCCAAACAGTTGAGGGCCTGGAGGCATTGGCGGAGGAGAGCGTTGGAGCTGGGAGTGGCTCTGCCGGACGCTACGCTGCTGGTGTCGGCCCTGGACAAGTTTGCGGCGGCATTGTCGAAGTTGGATCAGCAGAGCAGCTACCGGATGTCAACGGTGAGGGCCGAGCTGAACCTGGATACTAGGCCGACGCAGGAAGGAGTTGAGAGCTTTGCGGAGTACCTCCAGGCGGAATCCGAGACGGCGGAGCTCTGAAAAGGAGGGAAGGAGGGGGCGCCCAAGATCAAGGCGATGGGTGTCACGGGCAAGGAGGAGACGGTCCCATGGAGGCAGCAGGGACAAGGAGGAGCTACTCCGGGGAAGCAGAGGGTGGTGGACTTGACCAGGGCGTGCAAATGGTACGCCACGGATGCAGGCTGCCGGTTCGGGAAGAACTGCAAGTTCGCCCATGTGTGGGATAGCCTGGACAGGCAGCGAGAGAGGTGCTGGAACTGCGGAAGCCTGGAGCACAAGAAGGCGGAGTGTCCCCGCCCTGGGCCTCAGGGTGGAGGGGCGGCTGGTGGTCAGGCGGCGAGCGGTGGAGGGGATGCATCGAAGAGGAGCGTCACGACTTCGGCCGGGGATAGAGGAGCGGTCAGGAAGGCGGCCGGAGGAAAGAGCCATGTGTTGGGACGGCGGAGAGTGAAGACTACGAGGAGGTCATTGTGGAGGAGGCCAGCGGGAAAGACAAGCTGGTGGCGGAGGCAACGCAGTTGCTGAGGAGCCTCAGGATGAAGAAGCTCAAAGCGGCCAGGCTGTCAAAAATTGACGAATGCCAGAGCTGGGGCCTCCTGGATGGCGGAGCTACTCATGCCTTGAGGCAGGCGCGGAAGGGCGAGACAGGAGAGGACCAGATGGTGGAAATGGCGGACGGACGGGAGGTGGCGATGCAAATGACGGAGGGCCACACCCTGATCTGCCAGGAGGCCACGCAGGTGATCGTGCCGCTTGGGGCGCTGTATCTGCTGGGCTACAAGATCCGGTGGGAGGAGGGGATCTGCCGAATTGAACATGCCAGCCGGGGGCCACTGCCGGTGAGGATGAGACAATTCTGCCCCGAGGTCCCTACGGAGGTGGCGTTGAGGTTGGTCGAGGAGTTGGAGGAGTTCAACAAGGGCCTTCTGAGAAGGGCGATGGTGTCGGCCGAGAGGAGCGACGGAAGGCAGGAAGGAAAGAAGGGTGACAGGAAGAGCCGGAGCGGGGAGGTAGCGAAGGCTTGGAGAGATGGCGAGATGGAAAAGGTGAAACAGGAGTTCGGGAGGCTGTTTCCGGAGCCATCATGGAGCAGGCGTTGGGCTCTGGTGGCGGGAAAGGATCCGCGTGGAACAGGGCGGCGAGGAGGAGGCATGCAAGGGCGGAAGGAGTGATCTTGCACTTGTTCGCTGGGAAGAGCGCGAAGAAGTTCAACTACGGCGAACTGGGCCGGGAGGTGGTGGCGGTAGACATCTTGTCGGGCCAGAATATGCTGGACGAGGACACCTTCGGCTACCTGGCAAAGCTGGCGGTGGGAGGAAGGACGGAGGGAGTGATGGGAGGACCTCCACTGTAGGCACTTCGAGCCGGGCCCGTACCCGGTGAGGGGAAGAGGAGAGGATCGCTTTGGATATGAGGAGATCGGTGAGGAGGAAAGGAAGAAGGTGGAGGGCGACACGATCCTGATGCTGCGCATGTGGATCCTGATGGTGTTGGCCCAGGGTGGCAGAGAGCTGGTTGGTCGGAGGGCCTGGATGGTGAAGGAGCACCCGGAGGACCCCAAGAGCTACGTTAGGGAGGAGGAGTGGCAGAGGGCTAAGGCGCGGGGGGGCGTGCCACTGGTCACCAGAACTCTCATGTTGGTGGAGCCGCTGAAGAGTCGGAGAGCCGCGGAGGTGATTGCAGCGACCCAATCCATGGTGGCAAGGCTCCGGTGGTGGGGATTCGAGGTCACTCGCCTGCACTCGGACCGGGGACGAGAGCTGGTGTCAACAGCATTGAGAAGGTGGGCGGTGAGTCATGGGCTGCACCGGACGCTGTCAAGCCCCGATGAGCCGCAGGCCAACGGCAGAGCAGAGGCGGCTGTCCGATGGGTGAAGAGGAAGGCAAGGGCACTGCTGCTGGCGGCGGTGGTCAATCTGAACCTCTGGCATGGGGCGGCATTGCAGGCGGTGGAGGTTCGCAACAGGATGATCCTACGGGAGATGGGAGCTCCGCAGTTGCATCTGCCGGTCTTCGGACAAAAGGTGGTGGTGAAGAAAAGGAGGTGAAAAAGGGAAGCATAGGAGGCCATCACCCAGAACGCGGTGTACGTTGGGCCGTGCCAGGATATGACCTACGGGTTGAGGGTGATGGATCAGAAGGGCAGCATCTACACGGTGTCGCAGGTGGTGCCAGAGCCCAGAGACCTGAAGGTGGATGTCCCGGTGGCCGGGGAGTTGTGGACAAGAAGGAGAAGGTTGGTGGGAAAGCAGAAGGATGAGAATGGAGGAGAAGAGGAGGAGAAAGGAGGAGAAGGGGAGTTGCCAAAGGTGAAGAAGATAGAGGAAACAGAGGAGGGGATAGAAGTATCTCTGGACCCGGGGTGGGTAGGGGTCGGAGAGGAGTGGATTGAGAAGTTGGAGAGAAGGCAGGTGATTTGGGCGCAGGAGAAGGATCGGTGCCTGGAGCTGGTGGAGGCACAGGAGAAAAATGGGCAGAGGTACTTGGAAGGTTGGACGCCCAGCAGGAGTTCCTGGAGGAAGAGATGGTGGAAGTCACCAGAGGAGAACGCCTGAGGGTGGGACTCAAGGCGCTGGAGGCTGTGGCTGAGGAGGAAATGTTCCTGCAAACGAAGATCATTGGCCTGGAACAGGTGAGAAGGGAAATGGAGATGTGGGTGCCGACGATGAAGAAGGAAGTTGGAGCCCTCCTGGAAAAGATGGCCATCCGGGAGGTAAGAGAAGAGGAAGTAGATAGATGGGAGAGGGAAGGAGAGCTGGTGCAGAGGGCACCAGGAAAGGCGGTGTTCACAAGAAAGGCAGGTGACGGGAGGCGGAAGTGCCGGGCGGTGGTCTGGGGAATCAGATCCAGGAAGAGGTGGAGGGAGGATCGGATGTGTACGCGTCCGGGGTAGAAGCAGGGACGGTCAGGGCGCTGTTGCGGAAGGCGGCGGCAATGAACTGGGCCGTAGGATGCTTGGACATCCGCACGGCGTTCCTGAATGCGCCGAGGAGATCTAGCCATCGGGTGGTGGTGAGGCCGCCGAAGATTCTCCTGGACGCCAAGGTGGTGAACCCGGGAGTCATGTGGGAGGTGACCAAGGCCTTGTATGGGTTGCGGGCATCGCCGGCGGACTGGGGGGCCCATCGAGACGACACCCTTAGGAGGTGGAAGGTGGACATTGGAGGTGGAAAGGCAAGTTGGTGTTGCGCCAGGCGTTCGCGGACGAGAACCTCTGGAAGATAAGGCTCGAGGGCGCTACGGTGGGCTTCATCTGCTGCTACGTGCATGACATGATGATTGTGGGGGAGACAAACATCGTGGAGGCGATGGCGCAGCACATCAAGAAGGAGTGGGAGGCGACGGAAGAGGAAGACGACGGTGGAGAGGTCGAGGAGAAGGCCGCGGCGAAGGTGAAGGCGGTGTACAGCGCGGAGCATGAACGTGGTTTGAAGGTGCTGATGGGCATCACGTGTGTGAAGCTGGCTGATGCAGCTGGCCTGGAGGACGAGAACGCAGCCACGGAGGAGTTGCTGCTGTGGACCGCGCTTCTGGTGGCGGTGGTAGCCGCATGGGAAGCAATCAAGCGGGCCGGAAAGAAGGCGTTGGGCTTCTTGCGAAGAGCACCTCTGGTGGGGGATGGGGGGAGTACGTCAACTACCGGAGGGGGAGAAAGGATCAAGGCGTTGAGGGCCCCGCGTGAGAGAAGGGTGGATTATGAGCGCCCCGGAGAGGGGCGAGATCAGAGTGAGAGAAGGGTGGACAGCCATGGGGCTGGTGGTGGGAGCCGAGAGGCCCCAGAGAATGAGAATCAGACCGAGCGGTTCCCGGAGGCGAACTGGGGTCCGGAATGGAAGATTGCCTTGGATTCGGAGGCAAAGCTGTGGGAGGAGGTGAAGAGGGTCTTCCCGGGGATCAGGAAGGCGCCGGTGGGGACCGAGGACCGCTGGATCGAGAAGGAGGAGTTCTACATCAAGGTGCATTGCCGGAGGAGGGTCTCGGAGTTTGACCCGCGAAAGGGAAGGATGCCTGGCATGGGGATCGGCCCGGAGCGCATCACGGTCATGAGGACCAGCGGGCCTGTCTTCGTGGTTGGTGGAGACTATGAGGTGGGGAGCAGGACACGCCTGAGGGAATGGACAGGCTACAGCGTCTTCAAGAAGAAGGAGATGCGGAATGAGGGGGTCTTGAGCTGGGAGGATCGCTGAGCGAGACTCTGATTCGGCAGATTGCCGAAGGGGGGGTGCATGAGCCCCTGCTTTTGCGTTTGAACGGTTGAGGGATGCGAATACTGCAGACCCTTTTATTGCCCAAAGGAAAAAGGGCGCCGAGAAAGTCGGGTGATTCGAGGGTTGGAAGCCACTGAATCGCTGAAAAACCTCAAAAAGCGGATCCATTCAGCACGGACTTCCGACGGAACTCCCAATTGGGCGCCTGCGGCGAGCACTCCCATGCCTGACTGGTTCACTTAGGCGGTAGCCCTGACAAAAGTTTCACTGAAGCAACCCTTGTAACTCCAAACACACACACACACACATTCATGTGGGTGTCCTTTTTGAGTGCAACCCCCTTCTTTTTTTTGTGGCGTTTTAACGGGAAACCAAACAAACAACCACCACTTGCGCCACTTTTGGGGGAGTTGAACGGTACCTTTATATCAAAAGGACCACGATTTTAACATGAGAAGCCAAAATGACGAAACCAGGTGCGGCAAACTTTTGGGGGGAGTCTTCCTTAGAACCTGAAACGAGTGAACGGTCCTCCACACATTTCACCACAATGCGTTCCCATTGTTTCGTGGCCTTTTGTTGGGAAGGCGACAAAAACAGACCACTTCCAAAAAAAACGGACCTGAAACAAGCGACTGGTCTGCCACATCCACCACACCTCCCACACAAACACACACACACACACACACACACACACACACACACACACACACACACACACACACACACACACACACACACACACACACACACACACACACACACACACACACACACACACACACACACACACACACACACACACACACACACACACACACACACACACACACACACACACACACACACACACACACACACACACACACACACACACACACACACACACACACACACACACACACACACACACACACACACACACCCACACCCACACCCACACCCACACCCACACCCACACCCACACACACACACACACCAACACAACTCGCAACACACACACACACATATCACATCACATCACATCACATCACATCACATCACATCACATCACATCACATCACATCACATCACATCACACCACACCACACCACACCACACCACACCACACCACACCACACACACACACACCACACACCACACACCACACATCACACATCACACATCACACATCACACATCACACATCACACATCACACATCACACATCACATGCTCTTAAAAGACAAAACCACCAGTTGCGGCCCATTTTTTGGGGAGTTTTCCTTAAAACGAACCTAAAACGAGTGAACGGTCCTTCACACATATCAACACAATGTGGTCCCCTTTTTTGAACGTGGCGTTGTGACACAAAAACCACCACAAACCACCAAAACAAACAACCACGCACCTTTGAAAAAGAAAAGAACAAAAAAAAACAAACCGAGCTGTCACTGGTCCTCCAGGTTGAATTGGTGGCCGTGGGTTCCCGTCACGCCCATGATCCGCGCGATGTCGTCGGAGGTGATCTCCACGCCGATCCGCGCCGCCACCTCTGGGGACAGCTGGCCCTCCATGGCTCGCAGCAGGTCCATGATCTTACCCGCGTCCGCCTGCAGGTCCTGACACGAAAAACCAAAGGCCTTTTGGTGAAATGGCTTTGCTTATTTTTTTTCTGAGTTTTGCTGGGTTGGAGCAGGGTGGAGTGGCCAAACTCGGAAGGCTTTTTCCCCCTGGGTGGATTGGCCAAACTCGGCAATTTTTTGTTTCCCCTGCTTGGTGGTGATTGGTGGTTTGGAGTTGGAGTTGAAGCCCCGGCTTTTGTGAGAACTGGGAAACCACTTCCCTAACCAAAGCACCAATCCAAACCACCGGAAGCTGAAACTCGGCTTGTGATATGAAGGCCCTCCAGAAAAAAGGGGACCCTGAAAAAAACAGCTTTTGAGGAAGACCCTCCAGCTAGGGAAGTGACAAATTCAGTGGTTCTGACTTTTGGGTTGCCCGCGGAAAGAAAGAGGACATTTTGGGAGATACTACCATACAAGACTTGCTGGTGCCCAGCAGAGAATGAGAAGTGGAATGAACCGGAAGGGGACTCCCTTAAAGGACACCAAATCGGATGTGGTTGTTTTCTCCCTTTTTTCGGGCTTCCATTTCTCACGCCCTGCATCTCTCGCACCGCCAAGAAGAGACACCCCGGCCGAAAAATGTATGTCACCTGCATCAGGAAAGGGACATGTTCAAAGAGAATGCTGGTGCTCGATTGAAAAGGAAACCAACCCGGAGGGATGGCATTTTTTCGAGGTTCCACTTCTCATTCCCTGCATCTCTCGCAGCAAGAGACCCCCAAATTCTTCAAGTTGTTGCTGGTCAAAACTAGGGCAACCCCAAAATGGCTTGCCCAGGTAAATGGAACGGACCAAAACCTGCGGTCCAATTCCTGGCTTTATTTTGACCCATACCCAACGGTCCTTTCCCCACTCAGCGTCTCCTTCCACCTGACGAGCCTCGGCGTTTCAGGCGCCCGCGTCCCCCGATGTCGCTCCCCCAGTCGGTCGCCCGGTGTTCAGGGGCGTTTCGCACGTCTTTTTTTGCGTTGCTTGGGAATGATTCAAAGGCATTGGGATTGTTGGATGTTCTCATCCAACTCATAACTGGGCGTGTCTGGAATTCAGTTGAATTGGCTTCACTTCACTGATTCTACGCGTGATATGTCCAATGCCAGTGCTTGCGCATACTCTACGACTTCACTCTTGAGCACCTGATGGGGTGGATGAAAACAAAGCATCTATGAGCCACGGTCAAACTTCTGCGGTTGAATATAGATCAGCGTCCACAAACTGCCCTCCGGTAGACTATACGCTTCCATTTGCTTAAGCCCCCTGGACAAAAATAAGCACGTTTCCAGTAGTGATAAGTTCTTTTTAAAACCAACAGGGGGAAAAATACCTATATTTTTTGATTGCAAATGGAAGCTTCGACCGCAGAATCGAAGCTCCTCCCAATCCCAGCGGCTTCCGCTTTGAGCTTCTGGTCCTGCACCAACTGCAGCACCACCTGCGCCAGCTCATCGACTTCCGCATTCGTCTGGCCAAGCTCCTTGGGCTTCTGCGGGAGACCTCGGCCGGCGCGAGGCGCGAGGCGCGAGGCCCGAGGCCCGAGGCTGGGAAAATGGCCGTGAATCCAAGGGCAGAGGGCACATCTGAAGTGAGTGATTGGGAACCAGCACGATCTGAGCTTCTGCCAAACGTGACCGTACATCAACAATACACGGTCATAGGCCGTGTCTGCGTGGGATTGGTGGAACCAATGGACTTTCAGACGTGGTACAATCAATAGACAAATGGAAATGTGCAAACGATACTCCGCTATTTGATCTTCAGGACATGACCAGATCCCAACTGCATTTTTTCACTAAAATTCAAGCTGAATTAAGGGATCCCCAAGTAAAGGGCCTTTCTCATGATGAGCTCGCTTTTTCCCCAGGTGAGCTCGCCATAAAAAAAGATATATCAAAGGACGACCGAGGCGCATACTTCCAGCGCCACAGCCGCCCCCACCAGCAGCAAAAGACCGCAGAGGGTCCATTTTAGGACACAGCAGCAGCTGCAGCTGGACGGCGTCTGCGCGGGCTCGTCCCGCAGCAAACTTCGGTCCTCTTCCGGCATGTTGGATGGCGGAAGGGATCTGGGTGAACTGCGCATCAGCGAGGCTCAAGTATGCACAAGGGAAAGACCGCGAACCCTGTGCCTTGTGCGAGAAACGTACTGAGTCCCTCTTGTGTCTCTCCCAATTTTTCCAAGGACTCCTTGACATTTTGGAGTTGAGCTGCATATTCCCTTTGCCCCGCGTTGGCCAGTTTTGTTCACACAGTCTTCGACCCTACGCCGAAGTCGGACCCTTTCTCTGACCCACCAGGCCGAAGCGTTCTGCCGCCCGACCTGGCGTCCTCTTGGTTTCCCTGGAAAAAAAAAACACTTGCCCGTGTTCGGGGAGTGTGCCCGGAAGGTCCATGTTTTTTTGTTGGGTGCACTGCTCATGACATGTCTAATGGGCATGAACCCCCAACTGATAGCTGCTGCTCTTGGTTTCCTTTTGAAAGGGGAGTACGTCTGTGCTTCCAGGTCTACCTCTTGCCAAAGACTCTCTTTTTTGGACGGCCCTTTGCAGCTCGGGCCCTCGTTTTACACAGCTTCAGTCATGCTCAAGTAAGATATACAACATGTTCATCCTCTTCCTTGAGGGCAGTGGCTGCTCTGAAATCAGCAACCAAAATCCTCGAGCCATTCAGGCGAGGACAATGAGGTGAAGTACTTTGCTCAAGACAATGAGCATTTCCTCCCATACTGATAGAATCCAAGAGGCTTGACATGAATTGAACCGGACCTTGAGTCAAACAGCCTTGGATGAACCACACCTGTTAATCTCCAGGTGCCCTTGGAGAACGGTCGGAATCTAAGCCCCACCCAGCGGGGGGGTCAGCATGCGGGTCGCCTCTTCGCAGGTTCCCCAAGTGTCTCCTTGACACTCCTGCTCATGATCTTCGACATAACACCATGGCCCATCCGCGTGCTTGTTCGGATTGCCACAGGTGGTTGGCACATGGACTTCTTTGCCATCACCTTGGCCAATGTTCAAGCCTAAACGCAGCATTCAATTCATTTTGTGTTGCCGTTATTTTTCTAAAGGGCAAAACAATTGTTGCAAGGATCGTAAGGGTCCATCAAAGTCCATCAAGAAAGAATGATCGAGCGAGCCACTCTTGAAAGTCCAGCCATCAACGTGTCGTTTGCATCTGCATCCCTTGGTGGTGAAGCTGGTGTATGTAGTACACGGCGCCAAATGAAGCCCGTCCAAGGTGAACTTGTTCTTGTCTTCGCAGGACTCGTCCACCACGCACATGGGGAAGTGATTGACGTAGCCTGGATTTCCACAGGTGGTGCCTAGGATTGTAGCATGCGAGAAGCTGAGCCACGAAAAAAGCCAGGAGATCCAACCATCTGGGTGTGGGTCAAGAAAGTCAGTTGTTTGAGGGTTAAAAGGAACACAGAAAGTGTTGCAGGAAGCAGCTGACCAAGTCCAGAACCTCCAGCCGGAACTCCGCCCACCTCCTAACACCGGAAACCCGCAGCACCACGATGATGAAAGTCTCCGCCGTGCTACGGCGAACGCACAAGATCCCTAGAGAATTCTGCCGAGAGGCCTGTTACTTGAGCCATACGGCCATTCGGCACGTATGCTTGATGTTAAAACAACACGTGATATCTGGACAAGAGAGACGAAAGGAACCCCAAAACGCCAGTGCCAACTCAGAGATGATCCAATCGGCATCACCTGGGCCCCAATTAAAATCCTGCCACCACCCCGAATGAGCGGGGCGACAGGATTATTTGACGGATGGTCCATATGAGTGCGCAAAAAGCATGATGGAGGAACCAAACGAAGATTCCTCTTGCGCCGTTCAAGGTCTTGCGGTAAGATGGTGGCAGTGGGAGAGAGGTCCTGTCTGCATCACTGCACCTCCAAGAGCCGCCGCGACATGAAGAAGTGACAGACGAATTGACGAGTCAAGAAAGCGTTGAACAGAAAAGGATATACCAAGATAGACGGAGTGAAAAACGGCTATGACCCAGCACTCTTCGTGCGGTCAAGGTCTCACTCGAGTCCGTCAGGGTGACCATCACCAGCGCGCACGGCCACGGTAGAGATATGAACACCACCAGGCAGAATGGGGAATCACCCTCAGCAGCGGTGCTCGTGCGGGTAGACCGTCCGCAGTGCCGCACAGGGCGGCAGGGAGGTGTCCATTCCAGGGCGGAGGACGTAGGTGCGACTCACCGTCCGCCGTGACTGGCCCCAAGATTGAGCATCTCCTTGACGTACTGCAGGTCGAGCACCCTGACTCTCCGACTGGACGGCCAAGAATGGGATAGTGGATGAAATGGATGAGAGCTCCTGGCACGGAGGGACCGCAACCACTATCTGAGGGGAGATCCAATCATCCGTGACAACTTCAGGATTGGGCTCTGCGGCCACCACCGGAGGCAAAGGCTACAGCCGGCTTGTTTGGCCGGGGCGTTGGGCGCGGCAGCACCACGCCAGGCGGGGGCTTCGTTGTCTGCGAAGCCAGGCCCGCGATGGGACGCTCCAGGAGCCGCCATCGCATGAGCGCGAAGGCAATGAGGAGCAAGTAGCCGCAACCGGGTTACCAGCCACCGCTATTTCTGTTATGGCTGATAACCTGCAGGTTTTGGGCGAAGATGGCATAGCCCAGGAATCAAATGACCTCAAGGTAGTGCGCGATGAGGGCAAAGAACCCGGTGACGCAAACCAGGGGAGCTGCGGTTGATGACCAGGTTGAAGGACGTGACAGGTGTAAGAAAGCAAGTTTTTTGAGGCTTAAAAGGAAAACAGAAAGTATTGCCGGAAGCAACTACCCAAGTCCAGAACCTTGAGCCGGAACTCCGCCCACCTCCTAACACCTGCAGCACCGCGCCCTTTGACCGCGATGATAAAAGTCTCCGCCGTGCTATGGCGAACGCGATCCCTAGAGCATTCTGCCGAGAGGCATGTTACTTGAGCCATACAGCCATTCGGCACGTATGCTTGATGATAAAACAACACGTGAAATAAACTCAAAAATTGAACCCACCAGTCGACCGCAGGTTTTAGTCCTTGGTTCCATTTACCAGGGTTCCATTTTGGGCACCTATTTTTGACCCACAGCCATCTATCCTTTCGCACAAATGTACCATGTGCGTTTCACACAAATGTACCGGCCACAAACCTATGACTGACCAAAGAGAATGTACCTAGATTCATCCAAATCAATGTCCATACTTGAAAACTCCTCAAACCATTTGCTTCCTTTGTCATGGCACGGCTCTTCTCACCGAACAAAGTCCACGGTCCTTCCTTGCAATCACAACGTCCGATGGATACAGGACGGCAAAGGTCGCATTCCACTGCCCAGTTTCTGATGACAATGCCACCACCACAGCCGCAGCAGAATTGCCCGGATGGGTAATCCGCGCAGTTCTTGATGCGCCCCCTCGCCTCACGGGCAATACACATGATAAACCCTAGATCCTGGGTGGTCAAAAAGAAGAAGATTCGCCGGTGCTTTGGTGCACCCTGATTTTCGATGCTAGAAGGAATCTGGCCGGAATTGGGAAGGCACATGCCCAGTTTGGGAAACGGATTCATGCACACTTCAGCTTCTGTGCAAAGCTCGAAGATGTTCGAACGCCCATGGGCGCATGTTTATTTGAGGCACCTTGGTTCAAAGGAAAGCGAAAAAGACTAACAAAAACGAGGAACAACAAGAACGACCACAACAAATGTGCAACCCCAGGTTCCTGCAGCTGCGTATACCGGGCGCAGTCCTGGTGGTAGATGTCTTCCCAGGGTTTGCCGTTCAACTGAAAATCGGTGCACTTATGGTCCCCGTTCGCGAGCAAGCGGGAGACGCAAAGGCCATTCCTGAGAAAACATGATTGAAACGGATGGTTGCGAAATCCATCGAACGCACCGCCAAATAAACCCATGTTTCTGATAACAAAAATCCCCTGTAAATACCAACGATCCAATGGTTTCCCATGGCTTCAAAGTGGTGCAGTAAATCGTCCATCCACTGTAGAAATCGGCTTACAAATGGTGAGGGGAATGCTTTTGCATTGGCAAATTCTAGGCAGTGAGTGAGTCGGAGGCACGCTGTGCTAAAATTGGTTGCAGCATTGGTCGTTTCGAGGCTACCATAATTTATCAATCTGGTTGTCACCTGCAACTTCACATCTTGCCTAGGATCTACTGTTGCTCCTCCAAGATTTGGCAATTCCCGTTGGTTGTCAAAAACACCCTTGGAGGACAATTCCGCAAAGTAGAAGCAAACAAATTGGCCACTTCCTGCCAGCCAGTTGCGGTGAAGTGCCCAAGACGCCAATCCAAAGGCCTAGCATTTCTGGGTTCCCCGCGCACAGCCGGACCTTTGCCATGGCTCTCCTTTGTGTAGAGATCGGCAATCTGATCGGCATCCAGTTGCGTTAGGCCAACTCGATTTCCCATTTTGTAGAAGTGAAAGTTGCCTCAGCTCCAAACACGAAAAACAACACCGAACTCAACTGTGGGCGTTGGGAAAAACACAATATATATATATATATACATAGGGTACCCCCCCCTTGTGCCCCAGCTTCTCTGCATTTGTGTCGGCCCTTAAAACCTTCATACCGGTATTAAGATTTCATCGTACTGTATTTAGTTTCCTTACTACCCTGGGTATTAAGGAATCTGGATCCAAGATTGCTGGGGCACTTTTGAGGGAAACCTTGGATCTTAGATCCAGATTCCTTAATGGTACGGGATTAAGGTTCCTTAGTACTGCTTTATTTGTCTAAATAAACAATAGTAAGGTTTCAGAGGGGCATTCATGAATCCAACAAATCCCTCAAAAGTCCCCCAGCAATCTTGGATCTTGGGATCCAGATTCCTTAATGCCCAGTATTAAGAAAACTAAACACAGTACGAACACACCTTAACACCAGTATTAAGGTTTCAGGAGGGCCATTCATGGATCCAATATTTCCTTCAAAAGTCCCCAGCAATCATGGATCTTGGATCCACATTCCTTAATACCCGGTATAAAGAAAGCCTAAATACAGTACGAACACACCTCAAGGTTTCAGAAAGGCCACTCATGGATCCAAGATTTTCCTCAAAAGTCCCCCAGCAATCTCGAATCTTGGATCGTGGATTCAGATTCCTGAACACCGAGTATTAAGAAAACTAAGTGCAGTACGACCATAATACCCGGTATTAAGCGGTTTCGGGGGGGGGGGGCATTCATGGATCCAAGATCTCCAGTAATCTTGGATGTCGGATCCAGATTCCTGAATGCCGGGTATTAAGGAAACTAAGTACATTACGAAGAAACCTTAATACATGTGTTAAGGTTTCAGGGGGCGTGCCTCCCAGCAATCTTGGATCTTGGATCCAGATTCCTCAATACCCGGTATTAGGAAAACAACATACAGCTTTAAGAAACCCCGGTACTAAGGGTTGAAGGGGGACAGTCAAGGATCTAAGACTTTCCTCAAAAGTCCCACAGTAATCTTAGAGCTCTTGCATCTTGGATCCAGATTCCTGCCGGGTATTAAGGAAACTAAGTACATTACGAAGAAACCTTGATACCGGAATTTTGTTTTTCGGGGAGGGATTTCTGGATTCAAGATTTCTCTCCACAGTCCCCCAGCAATATTGGATCTTTGGATCCAGATTCCTTAGTACCAGGTATTAAGGACACTAAATACAATTCGAAGAAACCTTAATACCGGTGTTAAGGTTTCAGGGGGCGGGGGGGGGCACTCATGGATCCAAGATTTCCCTCAAAAGTCCCCCCAGCAATCTTGGATCTTGGATCCAGACTCCTCAATACCCGGTATTAGGAAAACAACATACAGCTTTAAAGACCCCGGTATGAAAACAGTCAAGGATCTAAGATTCTCCTCAAAAGTCCCCCAGCAATCTTAGATCTTGCATCTTGGATCCAGATTCCTTAATGCCGGGAATTAAGGAAACTAAGTACATTGCGAAGAACCTTAATACTGGTATTAAGTTTTTCGGGGGCGGGGAATTTTGGATTCAAGATTTCTCTCCCCAGTCCCTCAGCAATGTTGGATCTTGGATCCAGACTCCTCAATACCCGGTATTAGGAAAACAACATACAGCTTTCAGAAACCCCGGTATTAAGGGGTCAAGGGGGACATTCAAGGATCTAAGATTTTCCTCAAAAGTCCTCCAGCAATCTTAGATCTTGCATCTTGGATCCAGATTCCTTAATGCCGGGAATTAAGGAAACTAAGTACTTTACGAAGAAACCTCAATCCAGCAATCTTAGATCTTGCATCTTGGATCCAGATTCCTTAATGCCGGGAATTAAGGAAACTAAGTACTTTACGAAGAAACCTCAATACCGGTATTAAGTTTTTCGGGGGGGGGGGGGGGGATTTCTGGATTCAAGATTTCACTCCAAAGTCCCCCAGCAATGTTGGATCTTGGATCCAGATTCCTTAATGCCGGGTATTAAGGAAACTGTGTGACAGTGCTAAGAAACCTTAATACCAGTGTTTGGAGTTCACGGGGAGACACTCAAAGAACATTGTGTCCAAAACACAGCAACATGGCTTCACACACATACTATAGTCTTGAACTGACTCTATGGCCTTTCTTCTGGAGTCAAGATTTTGGAGAAAGCTTTCCTGGGCAATTGTGAATCTTTAATCCAGAACATCTGCATTTCTTGTGTGCAAGAGATACCCATTTTAGTCCCAGAGAAACTTGCTCAGAGAACTTGTTCGGAGACACTTGCTCAGAGAATTTGCGCAGAGAAACTTGCGCAAAGAAATTGCCCGGAAACACACCTTGTTCTGTGCAAAAAGCTGGCTAATCTTGCCGAGAACAGACTAAATGGCCTTCGAACGGTTTTTCTTCAAGGGGCACCTAATTTGCCTTGTGTGGGTCCAGTTTCTATAAATTCCTGAGGCTTCTAGCATGTCTACATTGTAGACACATGTTTGCTTGGAATATTTCTTGGAGTTGTGCAATGAAGTTGCTCTCTGTCCAAAACTACCTGAAATGGACATAATAGACTGCAAGCCTGCGTGTCTCTGCTTAAGTCTGCTGCACAAATAGGCAGACCTCTACAGCCTGTCGGCTCAAAAAAGCAAGACGGTGCACTTACGGCAAAATCATCAAAACTTTACGGCCTGCGCGCTCAAATCAAGCAAAACGGGGGCACCACCGGGGTGTGTGTGTGTGTGTGCGCAGCATATATATATATATATTAAACAAAACAAAAAGAACGCACCTACGGTGTATGAGCTAAACGCACGGCTTTCAACTATCGGCTTTCTTTAGATGCTAACCGCTGATGGTTCAAACATCCAGCTAAGCCTGTAGCTAGCGTATCTCATTTGCCACAGATTGCCATGCCCCCCCGAGTCAGCTCCGCTAACGCCTGAGTCACTGAGCAAAGCCCCCTGTATCGGCTTGGGCATGTGTTGTTTGAGAAAACCTGAGTTTGGGTTCTTTGAAAAGGAAACAAACAGGGCACCGGCAATCAGCAATGTTGGGGGTTCCCATCCTTGAGGCAACCCCCCTTTCTTTTGCCATCATCCAGCTAATCATATGAGTTCTCAGTCCTGCCCTTTCTGACCCATGTAGACTCCTTCGATCAGACTCTGCATCGAGCACCACCATTTCTTTGCGAGTCACTTCTGTTTGTTGTATAAAGCTCATAAGCCTTGTCCTTGGCCGTGATGGTTGGCATTCTGCTAGTGGAAAAGGCATCCGCATCGTAGTGCATGATGGACAAGATATCATATGGCCGCTGCGTGTCACCTGCCGCGGCTAAGATGGGAAGATAGGCGGGATGGAGAGGCAACAAAAAAAACATGGCGAGGCTGATCATTTTTGGCCAGGACACACTTACTATTCGGCGTTGATCATTTCGGTTGCCAAAATCAAATGAAAACCTGGGCCCAAACAATCAGGAAGCGTTCGGGCTTCTGAAACACATGATCCAACAACCCAGCGAGCCCCAACCGAGTTGGAACTCTTGTCAGGACCTGAGCAGAAGACTAGTTTGTACAGTGCTGCTCAACATGACAGTGTACAAAAACGACTTCTCACTCAAAACGTTGCAATAACAAAATTACCTTACCTACAGAACATGCGCAACAACAAACTTCTGCTACACACACATATATGTATATATATATATATGTATATATCAATATCTGTGTGTGCATATGATCACCACTATGTCTTTCAACCAGAGGCTTGGCGGTAGTATGTAAAAACCAAGGCCCTGGGCGGGGAGGCGGTTTATGTTTATGGCTGTTTGGGCACATCGTGACGGTTCATTTCCTTTCAAACCACAAAACAGGGGTAACGTCAACCAAAAACTTGCTCGTGCTCAGCAAGGAATGAGGGAATGCCCCCTGCAAACCATCCAACTGGTGGGTTCTGTTAAGGGAATCGCCAGGTTCATTCCATTTCTCATTCCCTACTTCTCGCACCAGCAAGAAAAGACCCATTGTCTTTATCCCCGCCTTTGCTGCGAATGTCAAAGTTATGAGACTTGCCTGCTTCGATCCGATCGTGATGGATTTCCACGTACTCATTCCGATCGGGCCGCGCTTGCTCGTGGCCCATCCCCAAGGTGTGTCCCATTTCGTGCATTGCTGTGCCTATAGCGTCGCAGCCCGGACTTTGCAGGTTCAACTTCTGAGAATTCCATCCGTTCATCACCATGCCCACATAGGACCAGCATCCATTGTTCTGAGAAGTGACCAGGACTGAGGGAAGTGTTTCACACCGCCCGTCCGACTGGAAACCCACGTCGACCCACTGGATGCAAGGAACCGCCTTCTTGTATGCTTGGACGGCATGCTCAAACGCCACTCTCACGCCTCATCTATTTCGTGCCAATGTACCCTGGCACAAAAACAGCATTCAGAATAAAAACGAGGATTCGGTAGACAAGCGTTCTCCAACACCAATATCAAATTGGTAGGATTTCGCGGGCCGAACTTTTCTTTTGCCTAGACACCATCTGGCACATCAGGTTGGAAGCAGAAGTTCACGACTCCACGAGGCCACGGCTTCCCAGCTCCGAAAGAGGTTCTCGAATCTGGCGAGCGCGTGACCAGACTAAATTGAGTGTACTTGAAAGCTGTAAAGTTCCAGGCCCAGAATTGTTGAAGTGATACCATTGTTTCAACCATTGTTTGTTGAAAAGAAAAGACTGAAGCAAACTGGTAAAAATTCATGTTTTGTTAAAACTGTTTGAGACAATGAATGCTGCGCATCAAGGGTAACCAGGTGGCTAAGGACAAAAACTGTTCGTTGCAGTCGACGTGTCCCTCCAGGTCAGAAAAATACATGCCGTCATGCTTCAACAAGGTTCCCACTACTACTGCTACTCTAGTGCTACTACTACTACTACTACTACTACTACTACTACTACTACTACTACTACTACTACTACTTCTACTACTACTACCACTACAACACTACTACTACTACTACTACTACTACTACTACTACTACTACTACTACTACTACCACTACCACTACCACTACCACTACCACTACCACTACCACCACCACCACCACCACCACCACCACCACCACCACCACCACTACTACTACTACTACTACTACTACAGTTCTTCGCCCCCACGGGTCACCCACGGCCAATAGTTATACTGGCCCTCAAGTTTCAATGAAACTTCCGTAGTTATGACACTCAATGCACTTTTCCATCACCGCAGCATTTGGTGGCCGTCTCGCTACTCTGCTGAAACTTGCGCATCAGTCTCAGCAGCTTGCGGCCGAGACTGGGCACATGCCACTTCTCATTGCTACCTTCTTCTCGAGCTCGGCTAAAGGTCTTGCCACAAGCAAAGCAAGAGAGAACTTGCATAAACTTGCAGACTGCGGCGTTAGCAACTCTTATTAGATACAGCCACCGAACATGTGTCGGTTCATGGCAAGTCCGACAGAGCTCAGTGTGTCTCCGCTGTCGGTGCAAACCTGCACTTGACCAAGAAGCACGGCACTGGCTTCCCAAAAAGCAGCTCAGTATCCAGCCGGGTGTCCCAATATATTTGTTTATCGAGAAAACAGACACATTAAAGGCTCGACAGGGCTCTGCTGATGTGCCACAAGGATGCAAACCTGCTGTTGACAAGAAGTGCGGGGCTGGCTTCCAAAAAAGCAGCCCAGAATCCTGAGCAAAGCAATCAGGCGTCACGGTATTTGTCTATCGAGAACAAAAAGTACATAGGCTTGACGGGGCTCTGCTGATGCCAGAAGCGCTGGCTTCCGAAGAGCAGCTCAGAATCCTGAGCAAAGCAATCATGCGGATGTCACGGTATAATTTGTTTATAAAACAAAATGGAGGGCTCTGCTGATGCGCCACAAGGATGCAAACTTGCAGTTGACCAAGAAGTGCGGCTCTGGCTTCCATAAAGCAGCTCAGTATCAGCCGGATGTCACGGTATTTGTCTATCGAAAACAGTCTACATATTTAAGGCTCGACAGGGCTCTGCTGGTGCGCCACAAGGATGGTTTGCACTTGGCCAAAACGTGCGGCACTGGCTTCCAAAAAGCAGCTCAGAGTCCCGAGCAAAACAATCAGCCGGATGTCACAGTATATGTTTTTTCCCCAACAGCTGAAAGCTTTGGGGTCTCAGCCCAGATAGGCTGCGGGGTGGTCCGGGGCGGCCCTGAGGTAAGGTTCCACGAGGGTTCCACGAGGTTTTGCGAGAGATGCGGGGTGCGAGCACTAAAAAGAGCTCCGCATGCTGTTGGGGATATATGCACTGGCTTCTAAGAAGCAGCTCAGTTTCTTGAGCAATCAGCCGGATGTCACGATTTGTTTATCGAGCAAAATAGACATATTTAAGGCTCGACATTGCTTTCTTCTAGCTCCCATGATGCTCCACAAGGATGCAAACCTGCGCTTGACCAAGAGAGGCACATCCTTGCAAAATCTGTGACATGCCCTTTCCCCGATTGCTAAACATTTTGGCAGGTCGTTCCTTCTGACTTCGAATCTATGTTTCTAGCTGGACTGCTTTTGATGCTTCTCAATTGCGCTTGCGCGCTGCTGCCACGTGAGCCGAAGGGAGCCGAAGGGAGCCGAAGGCAGCCGAAGGGAGCCGAAGGGAGAACGCCGGTTACTGGGTGCCAAGCAAGCCAGGTCAGCCTCAAAACTGGGTAAGTGCCCGGGACCTTCATTTTTCCTGTTGAGGGCTGTAAGCAGCTATAGCAGCAAGCAAGGTCAGCCCCCAATTAAGAAGAAGCAGCTTCAGTTGGTTTTGCCCGGGGCCCGGGACCTTCATTCTTCCTGTTGAGAGCTGTAAGCATTAAAAAAAAAACGGCGCATCCGACCGCAAAGACTGGCGAGACTGGGAGACACGGGGAGGCGACACAGCATCCGGCACTGACCGCAGAGAGCGGGAGACACAAGGAGACAAGCGGGAGACACGACCCCCGAGCCGGCGTCACAGCATCTGGCCACGTCACACAGCATCGCAGAGACTGCAAGACAGCCCCGGAGCCAGCGTCACAGCATCTGGGAGACGAGACTGGGATGGGAGACAAAGGGACAAGCGGGAGACACGACCCCGGCGCTTGGGAGAAACAGGGAGACAAGCGGGAGATGGGAAAAAAAGGGAGAGAAGTGGGAGAGAGCTAGCGTCACAGCATCTAGCACCCAGACACAGAGCGGAGCCAGCAGAACAGCATTGGCACCTGATCACAGAGTTCGGATTGGTGGTGGAGTGTGGAGCAGTATTTGTCTGCCGTATGCTAGGTACCAATCTGAATTTGATCAGATTAGGGCGCATTTGGTGGATGGAATCAGCCAAGACAGAATGGATGACGAAACAAAGCAGCGAGGTGCATTTTTTTGTACGGTTTGCTTGCAGGACTTTTGAGAAACAGACCATTGCATATCATCACAGGCATACCGCATTCAAATGGTACGGAAGCAGTGCGGCAGTTGTACAACACGTATCAGCCTGCGTCACGCAACAGAGCGCTTGCAGTTATGAATGCAATTATGGGATGGCCGCAGTTTCAGATGAATCAGCCACTGTTGCCACAGATTTTGCGTCTTGACGAGATATTTGCTGAACATCGGAAGGTTGCAGAAGAACTTCCTAGTCAGATGCGATTTGCAGTTCTTTTGAGAAGTTTGCATGGTCAGGCGCGCACTTATTTGAATGCGAATATAACAGAGGAACATACGCTGAGTTGAGATAATTGATTTTTCCCCAATCTCCGGTCAGATGCCAGATGATTGATGCAACGCTGACTCCAGGGTCGTGTCTCCCGCTTGTCTCCCTGTGTCTCTCGTGTTTATCTCCCTGTGCTCCCAGTCTCTCCGGTCGGATGTGTGACGTCTCCCTGTGTCTCGCAGTCTCTGCGATGCTGTGACGCTCACTCCGGGGTTGTGTCTCCCGCTTGTCTCCGTCGTGTCTCCCATGTGTCTGCCTGTGTCTTCCAGTCTCGTCTTGCTGTGTCTCCCAGTCTCTGCGCTGTGACGCTGGCTCCGGCGTCGTGTCTCCCGCTGGTCGCTTGTCTCCCAGTGGTTCCCAAACCTGAGGTCTAAGTGTGTACCATTCCTTCTCTGTACCACTTGCTTGCGGTCAACTTACCACCTCGACTGCTTGATTAGCTGCCGAGACTGCCGCCTCTTTTGCTAATGCCACTCGTTGCACAAGCTCACCGAACTCCGCTATGTCGCAGCTTCTGTTGGTCTGCGCCACGAACTGAAAATGCACCTGATTTGTTGCACGCAAATCCCTGCACCACGAAATCACAATGCCATGGCTCCGCTACCATGTGAAACTCTCATGTTTTGGCACACACCTATTTGGAGCGGTCGCAATCAATCGAGTCTCGTGCCAGAAACTCTCAACTGAATGTGTTGGGCTAAAACCACGTCATATGAAAGACTATATACATGGTTGTGAGTAGTTTCACACTTCTTCACGATTCAATGATCCCTGGATAAACTATTTTGCCCAAAAGGAGCGCAGGGTTTGTAAGGAGGTGGTTCGTACGCCCAACAAACATACAGTCAGTCGAAAGATACGGCGGCAGGGAACGGACGAGCTCGGTCAGTCTGTTTTGTCTCTCAACCTAGTTGTTGAAATCTCATCCTTGAGCTAGGTCAACAAGCCTTGACATGCAACTGAGCCCGAACGTCATTCCCAACACCGAAGATTGAATGTCTCGGTTGGCGACAAACAGTTTGAGCCATATCCAAGGATTCCACATGGGCTTGCTTTGGGACCTGCCTCTGAGCTCCCTCGTTTGGGCCTCCGCAGTGGTCACGAACTGCTTCAGCTGCCCATTGTTTTCGGGCACCATGTCCCCCTGAAAGGCCCCCTTCTTCGCATCCTAGTCAAGTCGCGACCAGGAACCTGATCAGACACCGTTTCCAGGCAGACGCAGGGTTCCCTGTAGTGTGGCTTCCCAGTCGCAAAGCTGCGCCCCCGCTTGTGAAAATGCGGCTTGGGGTATCTGCCCCTCTGCTCGTCAAAAAACACTCGCAAGCACGCACGCACACACACACACACTCACAACCATGCAAACATACACACACACAAACACGCAAAGACACAAGCACACACACACACAAACACGCAAACACTCCAGCACACCAATACAAACACAGGCGCCAAAATATGAACATATACACGTAACGCGTAAACTCGCAAACATGCGCACAAACGCACACACACACACACGAGAGCGAGCGCAAACAAGCACACAAAGACGCAGACACACACACACACACAAACACGCGCACACACACAGAAACACAAACACACAAACACAAACACGCAAACAGTCCCACGAACCGACACACCCACAAACACACAAACACGCAAACGCAACCACACCCACAAACACCCACACACACAAACCCGCAGAAACACAAACACGAACACAAACTCACAAGCACGCAAACAGGCGCAAACACACCAACACACAACCATGCACACACACCAACACAGCAACGCACGCAAACACGCAAACACGCAAACACACACAGACACAAACACACACGCACACACAAACACACACACACACCCACCCACGCACGAACCCACCCACACACCCACGCACGCACGCACGCACGCACGCACGCACGCACCCACACACACAGACGCACACACACACACACACACACACACACGCACACACACACACACACGCACACGCAAACACAGAAACACAACAAACACGAACACGCACACAAAAACACGGGCAGCAAACACACACAAACACAAACACAAACACAAACACAAACACAAACACAAACACAAACACAAACACACACCACACACACCCGCCACACCCGCCACAAACAATGCACCACGCGCAACACTTCGCACACAACGCTCTACACTGCGCGGAACACACACACACACACACACACGCACGCACGCACGCACGCACGCACGCGCGCGCGCGCAGCCACACACACACCCACACACACACACACCACACACACCACACACACCACACACACGCACACACGCACACACGCACACACGCACACAGGCACACAGGCACACACACACACCCACGCACGCACGCACACACGCACACACACGCACGCACACACGCACACACGCACACACACGCACACACGCACACACGCACACACGCACACACGCACACACGCACACACGCACACGCGCACACGCAAACACGCACACACGCACACACGCAAACACGCACACCCGCACACCCGCACACACGCACACATGCACACCCACCCACCCACCCACCCACCCACCCACCCACGCACCCACCCACCCACCCACCCACCCACCCACCCACACACACACACACATCAAACATCACACATCACACAAAACACATCACACAAAACACAAAACACAAAACAACACATATTAAAATAATGTGTTCCTCGTTCCCCCGCATGTGTAGCAGAAGGGTTTTCGGCTGAAGTAGGGGTCAGCATGTGTTTCCGATCAGAGTCGGTTGAGTGTGAGTGTGCGAGCGAGTGAGTGCGAGTGTGTGTGGGTGTGAGAGCGAGTGTGATTGTGAGAGTGAGCGTGAAAGTGAGGGAGTCAGGGAGTGAGGGAGTGAGGGAGTGAGGGAGTGAGTGAGTGAGTGAGTGTGAGTGAGTGAGAGTGAGGGAGTGAGGGAGTGAGAAAGTGAGGGAGTGAGGGAGTGAGAGTGAGTGCGAGCGAGCGAGCGAGCGAGTGAGTTAATGGATGAGTGAGTGAGTCAGGAAGTGAGTGAGTTAGCTAAGCAGTGAGTGAGTTGAGTGGGTGGTTGGTCAGTCAGTGCGTGAGTGGGTGAGTGAGTGAGTGAGTGAGTGAGTGAGTGAGTGAGTGAGTGAGTGAGTGGGTGAGCAAGCAAGCAAGCAAGCAAGCAAGCGAGTCAGCCGGTGGGTGCGTGAGTGAGTGAGTGAGTGAGCGAGTGGGTGGGTGGGTGTGTGTGTGAGTGAGTGCGCGCGTGCGTTGGTCAGAGTGAGTGAGAGTGAGTGTGAGTGAGTGTGAGGGAGTGAAGGAGTGTGAGTGGGTGAGTGAGTGGGTGGGTGAGTGAGTAAGGGGGGGAGTGAGTGAGTGAGTGAGTGAGTGAGTGAGTGAGTGAGTGAGTGAGTGAGTGAGTGAGTGAGTGAGTGAGTGAGTGAGTGAGTGAGTGAGTGAGTGAGTGAGTGAGTGAGTGA